CGTCTGGGTACGAGGCAGTCACTTGACTTAGTTACCTGCAACAGAATATGACGTTTATTTTTTCGTCCAACCTCCCCTCCTCTTTTAAACTTGTCACATAGTAGGTAGTGTAAGAACCTTGCCTCGATTTAATAGCGCCATTAGCTAAGTAGTATTGGCCCCCACATATTACTATTAATAATAATAATAGCATACTAAGACGGTTCATATAACTTCCGTTTACAGCATGCTTCAACCATTACTCACTTCCTCTGGATACTAAACTTAGGCGGGAGAGTGCTATATAAGCTGTTCTTTGTTAGGTGTATTCGACTCAGACAGACGAAACGCGTCAGCAGGAATGAACAAAATAAGGTTACACTATAAGAAGTCTTTCTTTGCGCTGCTTGTTTCAGTTTATAAGCGGCAGTCTCCAAAATGCAGTCTGTAGTAGAAGCTAACAACAAATTCACTGTGGATCTTTATCAAGCTCTCCGGGATGATGAAAAGTTCACGAATCAAAATCTTTTTTATTCACGAAGTAGTCTGAGTACTGCATTGGCCATGACGTCCATAGGAGCTAGAGGAGACACAGCCAAACAAATGTCAGAAGCTTTCCACATGGGAAGCCATGCCAAGCACTAAAATGCAAGATCAGCAGCGACATTTTCTCAATGCATTTCAAGAATCGAACGACCAGGGGAACGAAATATTTTTTGCAAAAAAGTTTGACCATCGAGCAAGAGTTCCTTGAGGGAACAAAAAGATTCTATAATGCAGAAATGGCTTTGACCGATTACCAGAAGGATCCAGAGGGAGCTAGGAAAGAGGTGAATGACTGGGTGGAGAACAAAACAAAAGAGAATATTAAGAATTTAATTCCTGAGGGGGTGTTTAACTCAGGCACTGTATTGACTCTGGTGAATGCCATATATTCCAAGGGAATTTGGCAAAATGAGTTTGATCGAAGAGCCACTCGTTCAAAAGATTTTTTTGTTTCTAAAAACGAAAAGGCAAAAGTGAAAATGATGAAGCTGAAGACAAACTTCAAGCACATTGCTAATGGTGGAGAGCTTGACTGTCAATTGCTGGAGTTGCCTTACCAAGGTGAGGATCCCTCGATGTTGATTCTGTTACCCCAAGACAAGTATGGGCTGACCAGTGTAGAGGTCAGTCTCACCCATGACAAGTTACAAAAGGCTATTGCACTAACACAAGTACATCGTTCACGCGGAGTGAAGGTGTACTTGCCAAGATTCAAGATGACACAACAATTCCAACTGAATGAGCTCCTAGCGAAAATGGGTGCAATAGATATGTTTAACGCGACAAAGCTGACTTTACAGGGATTTCACCAGGGCCTGAGAGGCTCCATATATCCCTTGTCATTCACAAGGTATTTGTGAAGGTCAACGAGAAAGGTACAGAAGCTGCAGCAGCAACAGCCGTGGTAATGCGCGGACTAAATCGCCATTTGGGGGTTCCGCAAAGATTCCCGTCTTTTGCGCTCATCACCCCTTCCTGATAATTACTTTGTCATAAAAAGTCAGGTGGCATTTTGTTCATGGGTAGAATGGTGAAGCCTGAGCCATTAGACTGAGAGTAAGAAGGAGCTAGTTCTGGATTAATTCGGCGTTATCACAGTTATTCCTTATTGTTGGGTTACTTTTTTCTTTTGAGACTTAAAAACAAAGTTCATTTCTGAGAATATTGCCCCATAACTGCAAAACATATATTTGAATACCACAGGAGGTCAAGAACGATATTAGGTACCTAGTAACGAAAAATTAAAATTAAAATTAATCTTAATGTCATATAATATTATTACAAGAAAAATCAGAGGGAACTGATCGGCTGCCGAATAAGCTGTAGAATATTTGCCATCATATCATTATAAAGAAAATTTTTTAGAAAAATATTAGAAATTGTGTTTAACAAGTTCACTTATCCATTTCAAATTAACAATTAATACAATTATAATAATAATAATAATTATTATTATTATTATTATTATTAACAATTAGTGTAGCAGGAAATATTTTAATAAAAGGTTTGGTAAACGTGTTCAAGGATCTCCTGCCTATAGTTATCATTATTAATGTAATAAATGAAAGCATTATAAGGACATGAAACAAAGAAGAAATTTTTAATGATAAAAGTCGAGAAGAGCCGTGTGTATTTGATTCAGTCTGTCAACACACAAAACTGAAGGTTTGACTTAAGGATCTATACACAAGTCAACACAAGGATTGATTGAACATTCCCCAACATCCCTGCATGTGATCACCACTTTCTGAAGATTTTTTGCGTCCCTGCCCAACTACGACGTGAAATGAACAAATTCGTTTGAGAACGAGAGGCAAGGTAATAAATTCGGACGCACTCCCGCCTCTTCAGCTGCAGCCTAGGCTACGTTAAAGGCACACGGTACCGGTCGAAAATTCCTGCGGTTAGGTGTTCTGTTCAAGGGAGAGTCACGCTTTCCGTACGAAAATTTGAACGCCTAGCCGTTTAAAAATTTGAACGCTAAAATCGAGGATCAATTTTTGACCGGTACGGTCATCAACAACTGTAATACATCATTTTACTATCTCCACAACATTAGGCAGATAAGAAAACACCTGTCACGTGACTCCTCAGAGACTTTGATTCACGCGTTTGTCTCCAGCCGATTAGATTACTGTAACAGTTTACTCTATGGATTGCCACAGGTACAAATTGATAAGATTCAAAGAGTTCAAAACGCAGCTGCAAGGCTTATTTTGAGCAACCTAAGTTTTGCCATATAACACCAGTCTTATCTCAGCTTCACTGGCTGCCCATCAAGTATCGCATTGAGTTTAAGATTTTACTGATGACTTTTAAAGCAATTCACGGCATGGCGCCAGATTATCTTTGCAAATTGATCAGCCGAAGCCTGAGCCATTAGACTGAGAGTAAGAAGGACCTAGTTCTGGATTAATTCGGCCTTATCACGCTCGAGAAGCGGGTGTGACTACTGCTTTAAGAGTAAAATGCGATTTTTAACTAGCTTGAATGCATTGCAAGGTTTCTCAATGATTCGCAACGCATTTTTAACCTTTCCTATGAATGGGTTCAACTTCGTCAAATGATGAAAAATGATCAACGCATTGGCAATGTTACCATTTTTGTTTTTGCTTGATGATAGAAATGACAGCGTAGGTCAACGCGCGAAACCTAGTCACTCTAACATGTCCCGTATGAAGATTTTCGTAAGGCTCACCAGACCTGAGAGGAACCTCAGAAATTAATACCTTAACCGCGCTTTGAAGTAGATAAATTGTTATAACAGATACATCATTTAAATAGAATTTTTAAAGAACAAAAACTCAAAAAATATTCTGTTTCCTTACACGGTGGTCGGTCGCTAAGGCTTTTGCTCCCGCACCTCTCAAAACTAAGAGTTTTAGTCCACATACAGTTAGTAGAATGCATAGAATGTAACGAAACTTGGCAGGGAAGTAGGTTGATAAATTACCTATTTATGGGTGTTTATTTCATCCAATGTGACGTCTACTGTGACGTCATAAATGATGTCCAAATTTGGCATCAAAAAGAAAATTCAGGAAAGAAATGGTAAAAATTTGACATCAGTTTTCTGTACAGAATCATGATTGCTGGTGAAAATCCTATCTCAATGGGATAAAAAGGCGTAAAGTTACATTTAATTAAAGACATTCAAACTTCCCGCCAAATAACCATGTATATGGTCAAACTTTAGGGGTATTTAAACGCGAAAACAATAAATGTAGTCGCAAAGGAGAAAATACAAATTTGCATTGTTACTATTGTTACTTATACTTACTTTCGGAAAACTAACTCGATGCCAATTAATAGTGACTCCTGGCGCTTGACAAAGGTCACAAGTCAAAAGCCGTTAGCATTTTATTAGCTCGGCACTTCCATGGAAACACCTGAGGAATAATCTGAAGAAGGTCGAAGGCTCGAAACGTCATTAAACTTAGTGAACCTGCTATAAGTTGCCCTATTGTCATTTTCTTACACTGGTCATATATTACTAAGGTTTTATGCTGTTTCTTATTATTTAAATTTTATTGACCATTTTGTAGTTTTACCAATATTTAATAGCGCTTTTAAGTTTATATGTATGTATAGAAAGTGTGCTTTACAAATGCTTAATTATATAGTAATAAAGAGAATGTCTACTACATTAACCCTCTCGTCTCTACCTTGGATTCATACATTAAAGACACTACTGACTTCCTTAATAAACTTTCTAACCTCGGTAACCTACCTAACAACGCTATTCTTGTAACTCTTGATGTGTCATCGCTCTACACCAACATTCCACACAATCAAGGAATTGATGTATGCCGTCATTTTCTTGATACCCGCCCTAACAAACACATCCCCACAGAGACACTATGTGATCTCTTACGCATGATTCTCACCATGAATAATTTCACATTTAACCAGCAGCATTATCTTCAAATCCATGGTACTGCTATGGGTACTAAAATGGCTCCTTCTTTTGCTAACCTTTTTCTTGGTAGTGTTCGAAACCAACGATCTCACTAACGCCCCTTGGCAGCCTCACACATGGTGGAGATATATCGATGATATTTTCATGATCTCACAGAAGGTTCGGATCGTTTGAAAATATTCGTCGATTATCTCAATAACATTCATCCCACTATTAAGTTCACTAGCTCTCACTCACTTACTAACGTTCCTTTTCTCGACGTCATGGTGTCTCTACATAACGGTATAATTGAAACTGATCTATTTACTAAACCCGTGGATAAACATCAGCACCTTCTCAGCTCATCATGCCATCCTCACCACACTAAGAAAGCCATTCCGTTCAGCTTAGCCCTCCACCTCCGCCGTATCTGCTCTACAGACGCTAAGTTTAAACTTCGCATTAATGAACTTAAAACATATCTCCTTGCTCGTGGTTATAATGATAATTTCCTTGAAAAACAGTTCCTACGCGCTGCTAGTATTTCTCGTACTAACGCGTTACAGACTAAACCCAAAGCTTCTAACGATGTTGTACCATTTGTTGTCACATATAACCCAGCACTTCCACGCATTTCTAATATTCTACGCAAACATTTTAACATCTTACACTCCTCTAGCCGTTGCAAAGACGTCTTTAAGCAACCGCCTTTTGTTGCTTAAAGACGTAGCTCTAATCTTCGTGACCTTTTAGTTAAAGCACAACTACCCGTTATCTCCACCAATCATTTTCCGCCATGCTCCTTCCATTATGGACAGAACTGTGCCACTTGTCCATACATTACTAACGGCCTCACAAGTTATACCTTGTACGCTACAGGTGAAACACGCTCCATTACTTCACACATCAGGGGCACCCAACGGCAATTTTCGGGAAAATATCTGTTCGGAAGACGATTTGAGATCTAGAATTTTCGGAGCGTTTGTTATAAAATTTATTGCGTGCCTGCCTCTCCTAGGATTTTCGAACATCTACAAAATGGTATAATTACCCATTTTTAGCGGATTTTGACCCCAAAAAAGGCCACCTAGAATTTTCGGGAACCTTTTCCTGGCTGAAATTTTCGGGAAGGTAAGTTTTTATCCCTATACTGATTTTCGGATCACTAGACTTTCAGCTAGCAAATCCAAACAGATGAAAAGTTTTTAGGGGATAAAAATATGCCTATATCTACCGTTTGAATACTAAAATACGTTTAACAATGCTATGTTAAGTGGTTTTGAACTATATCCTCGTTGGGTGCCCCTGACACATTACTTGTAACACTAAAAATTTGATCTACATGGTTCAATGTAACCGTTGTTAACGTAGTTTTTTGGACTATGCTAGGAATTCATAGTTAAGGAATTGCGGTAGCCCCGTACACGCCCAACAGGAAACTGAAATAGTAGATAAACCTCAACTTTAATTAAGCCGTTTAGTTTTACCCGAGATCTGAATTAATTGGACATGTTTCATGTGATTTACTGCTTACCTGTTACACTGTTTCATGGTTATCCCGATCAAGGAAAGTTAAGAAAACTCGCCACAGAAGTAAGTTTATGATCAATGTTATAATATTGTCAATCATTTTAGTTTTGTTAGTTTTATATGGATTTCATGAGTTTTTGGATATTGACGATCAGTGACCGCACGGCATAATGATTGTTAAGAGTTTATATCAGTTATTCCCGCCTCGCTCGTTTAAAGAGGCCCTGCGCCTAAGAAAAGACCGATGATTTGCGGCTAAAAAATAAAATCGGCCGATTTTTATCTCCCAAGTAGAGGTTACCGAATACTATTCAAAAATGAATTTCTTTTGTTTCAGTTTCGCTTTAAACCAAAAATATCGAGCCGCAAACTTTTTCCGTCTGATAGCAGCAAAATCAGGCCTAAAATAAGCTCTGGCAAACAAAGGATCAGAAATCACTATCGCAACGCAAAACAACGAGAAAACCACACAGTGATGAAGAAAAAGGCCTTTTGAAAAACTGCCGAAGGGAATGAAAAATAAATTTTCAAATATTGCATATTAAATTAGATGGAGCGTTGGAGTTGATTTTAAAATAATAATTTCTCAAAAGTCCAACGCTGCTGAAAGCAATCACAGTGATGAATCAGACATTGGAGGGATATACATCACGTTTTCGGAAAAACATTTTTCGGCCAAGGTATACTGACGTTGTAAAAACTGTTCAAAGTTACCGTATTTACCGTTAAGTTGCCACTTCGGCGAAACACATCTCTGTTGCCAATATGGCCAAGGATAGCGTGGTAATCGCCACTTTAATCCTTGCTAGGCGCTCAAAACCATCCAAAATAGAAGTATATAGAATTAAAAGAGAAAGGAGAATGAAAGATTCGCAGAAAAAGAGAATAACTCGAAATTACCATCTGCTAAGGAGATTTGAATCTTGGAAATGTTGTCTCGTGACAGCGTTCATTTGTCCGAACTGCAGAGGGATCCAAACAAATACGTCAAATATGAGTTTAAAAAAAACAATCTTTCTATCACCAGATATCGTGAAGTGAAACAGTTTTATGTTTCTCCTATTAATGATGATGAATTCAACCTCAGCTAGTCTCCAAGTACTTTGAATGTGGGCTGCTTGTATTTCGTTACATACATTCCAACGGCCGTTACGGCTCAGCTCGTGCAGGGGTCAGCGGACCTGAAGAAAGGTGACGAAGTTGGAGAGCAACGCCATGCTAGGGGGGACATTGGTAGGTACCCAATACCGAAAATAACTGCGGTATTGGTATTTCGTCGATTTTTGACACGGTATTTCGGTATTTACCAATTTTTCTCACGGTATTGCGGTATTCAATTAATTTAATTTAATTTAATTTAATTTTGCAAGGAAACGTGAGACGACCTCGAATTGATCGGTACAACGAACGAAAAAGATACCCTACCAATTTCATCATAGATTGTCTGTCAGAAATTGTGTAATGGTAATCATTTACCATTCATCTAAAGTCTTAAAAATACTGACGTGCATTAAACTAGCCTGAGTAGCAGGCGCTTGGAAGTAGTAGGCGCGCAAGAGAACGAGCGCGCGCGAGGGAGACACGCGAGGGGTCATCCAAGCGCCTGCTACGCAGGCTACTGTTCATTGCGCTCTCCTGTTTAATGCTACCGCAATACCGTGATCTTCTTTTACCGAATACCGTTAACCAAAAGGAAGAAATACCGCATACCGCAGGGCTAAATGATACCGCAATACCCCACTTTAAAATCCAAATTACCGATATACCGCTCGAAAAAAAGCTCAATACCGTAAGCCCCCATTTCCCCCTCCATGCTGTTGAAGAGGTGATAGAATATTTGAGCTTAAAACATCAAATTATATTTGATGTTTACAATCTTTGTCATAATTATCACAGCAACAAACTTTCATCTTTCAATGTTAGTATTGAAAGACATGTGCGGGTATTTCGAAATACCTTACAAATCTACAGATCTAAAAAGAGACCTTTTAGCCAAGGTTTCAGTGTAAAGGTATGTGACTGAGTGCAGCAAAAAATAATTTCATTCTGTAACTTTCCTGCGCAAGAGTTTGAGTGCATGGTATGTTGTCCAATCGGTAATGTGACAAGTTGTGCGTTGTGCATTGGTTATCATCTAAATATCATAAATATTATTGTGGAAACAAATTATGAAGCATATTATAAAATGAAGTTGCAAAATGAGTGAGGTACTTTCATCGATTTAAAAGTCCTACCGGTCTCCTATCTTTTTTTATGATGTCCACCCCAATATTTGGGTGACCCTATTCGGCGGAATGGCGGAATACATGCAATCAGTTGTAAAATACGGAATATACGTAACACTCTAAAACACGGAATTTACAGAATATTCTGTATTTGATTTGAACTGGACTGACGAAAAAGCAGAGGCAATATTAAAAATTCAATTTTCGTACTGCCGTAAGCCACACTATAGACCTTAAGACGGTTTTGAAAGCCATCTTGACGGGTGAAGGGTCCGGTATCACGGGAATCTGATGTCGGATAACTTTCATCAAACGGCTGTTCTAAAAAAAAAGAATTGTAAACTTAAGCTTGACAGGATTGTACTACCAATTAATGGGGGCCGCACCTGTGCCTAAATTTGTCCGGTCGCTTGCTTTAGATTTTCCAGAGTCTTCAAAGTCTTCAAAGGAATGATCTCTTCTTCAAATTTTGTGGAGATTGCTCGGCTGGTCGTTCTGGCGAGGAAGGATCCAGGGACAACAAGTCCGTTTTCCAGTCTCCTTGATCCATTACCTTAATCGACTTGCACTTTGTTTTGACTGCGAGCTTTTTTAAGAAAGGTGAATATAAGGAAGGAAAGTTCCATCGACAAAGTGCCCAACAAGTTTCAAGGTAAGTCCCTCGCGTTAACTGAGCATTCACCGTCAGTATTTGTTACTGCTACAGTTTCAAATATTGTTCGTTTTTAAATGAATATCAAAGTCCCTTTTTTAACATTTGGTTGTTTCTCAAAAAAGAAATAAGCGCCCTGTCCCGAATAAGCGTCCTCCCTAGAGGTACCAAAAGAAAATAAGCGCCTGGGCGCTAAATCGAATCATTACGGTAAGTCAATTCTTTTACTTGTCACGCACTTAAAACGTGGTTCGAGTTAATGAGGGTAAAATTATATAGAAATAATCTGAAGAGAAGCAAAAATTAGTATTACTTCGAGTTAGCACGAGGTTCGAGTCAGTAGCGAGGGTTCGAGTTATTAGAGTCGACTGTATACATGTATACCCTTTTTAAACGATTTTTCTCTTATTCTGCATTTTAGAGTATTCCGTATAATCCGTATTTTAGAATATTCCATGTATTTCATCCTTCCGTTCCGTCACTCCGTCAGTCCGCCATTCCACCAAATAGCGTCACGCCCGATATTTTCATGTCCAAGAAAATACTAAACGCGAGGCTAATCATTGTGCCAAGAATTGAATCTGTTAGCTACATTTTATAGTGCCAGGCAATAGTCCTTTGAGAATAAAAAAAAAACCCCGTAATTCTTGGGCGCAATGAACTCAGTTTTCGGGAACAAGATGTTCCTCGTTCTCGGGAGCAACAGTGGAAGACATATGACATTGACACGACTGATTCTCGCCCGAAAAAAAAACCAAAAAAAAAACATGGGATCAGATTTCTTTCAACAGACCGCTGGCCAGAAGCGTCGACTCGTGGCCCCACAACGATTAGATCACGCTGAGGCCAAAACAGTGCGGCGGTTCGGGAATTTTTTCTTTTTAAGTCACCATCGTTTGTGAAAAAAAAAAACATTACTGTAACATTGTTTCACTAAGTGCTTTCTGGCCGGGAAAAAGTTGTGCATTCGTTTACATTCCGCCGCAGTTTAGACAAATGACGTCATTGGCCGCTGTCACGCGACGACATTTTCCACATTCAAGTTTCCTCAGCAGATGGTAATTTCGAGTTCTTTTCTTTGTCTGCCTATTTTTCATCTTCCTTTCTCTTTTAATTCTACGTCCTTCTACTTAGGATGGTCTCTGAGCGCCTAGCAAGGATTAAAGTGGCGTTTACCACGCTATCCGCGGCCGTATTGGCAACAGAGAAGTGTTTCGCCGAAGTAGAAAGAAAACGGTAAACACTGCAACTTTGAACGCTTTGTACAACGTCAATATACTTTGGCCGAAAAATGTTTTTCCAGAATCGTAATGTATATCCCTCCAATGTCTGATTCATCACTGTGATTGCTTTCAACAGCATTGGACTTTTGAGGAATAATTATTTTAAAATCAACTCCAACGCTCCATCTAATTTAATATGCAATATTTGAAAATTTATTTTTCATTCCCTTCGGCAGTTTTTCGATGTTTATCGAATGATATTGCATTGAAAGGCCTTTTTCTTCATCACTGTGTGGTTTTCTCGTTGTTTTGCGTTGCAATAGTGATTTCTGATCCGTTGTTTGCGAGAGCTTATTTTAGGCCTGATTTTGCTGCTATCAGACGGAAAAAGTTTGCGGCTCGATATTTTTGGTTTAAAGCGAAACTGAAACAAAAGAAATTCATTTTTGAATAGTATTCGGTAACCTCTACTTGGGAGATAAAAATCGGCCGATTTTATTTTTTAGCCGCAAATCATCGGTCGTTTCTTAGGCGCAGTTTATTACCAATTGATTTAGTTAATTAGAATACATTGTACATTTTAATTTCAGATCGAATAAATATATTATCAGTTATACGATTGCGAGTATTCTTCGGTAGTGGATCGTCTTAGTTCCCTTACGAAACAACCGTTGTAATCTACAATATATGGGTAAAACTAAGCGACGTCTCAAGGACAGATTTAACGAACACAGACGTGCAGTCGACAAAACTAACATTAAATCTAAACCCACTACTGTTTCTGAACACTTTCTCTCTCACTCTAACCATTCTCATACTGACATGCAGTTAATCCCACTAGAGAAAATTCATTCTTTACGTGACTCAGTTCGTAAGGCCACGGAGTCGCATTTGATAGATAAGGCCTTGACTCTTGAACCTCATGGGCTAAACCGCCGCGACGAATTATTGTAATCCATATCCTTAGTATTTCTCCTTTCCAGTTTTTATGTTGTACGTCATATCCGCCTCTCCCATTTATTGCGACATTCTCAATTTATATAATATTGTGATTGGTAAGTTCAGTAACATCTGTAAACCTGAAGAAGGCTGGTATGGCCAGCCGAAATATTGTTATAAAAAACAATACACGTTGTTTTAAATCAGCTTTGCAGTAGTCTTTGGACTTCTCGTTCTTGGTTAATTATTGTAAATATTATTATTATTATTATTATTATTATTATTACTTACTATCGTTTTGCTTTGTATCTATTTAAATGGTAATGCAAATGAACAGTGTCGTTTTTGTAGAGTTATGTCACTTGACTGCTTATATAGTTACCTGTAATAGAATGTTTTAAACCTGTAAAATATATAGTATATAGTGTAACAGAAAACTTGTCTCGATTTAATAGCGGACATAGCGCAATTAGCCGAATAGTGCTAATAGTATTGGTCCCCATCGACATGTACACGATAACATATTTCACTAAAACGGTTCTTATATCTTCCGTTTACAGCATGTTTCAGTTATTACTCACTTCCTTGGGATGCTAAACTTGAGCACGCAATTTCTATATAAGCTGTTCGTTGTTTGGTAGTCAGTTAGACGCGAAACACGTCGGCAGGAAAAAACAAAAAAATTGTTACAACTACAAGAAGTCTTGTTTGCGTTACTTGTTTCAGTTTATGGGCAGCAGTATCCAAAATGCAGTCTGTAGTAGAAGCTAACAACAAATTCACCTTGGATCTTTATCAAGTTCTCCAGAAAGATGACAAGTTCACGGATCAAAACATTTTTTACTCCCCAAGTAGTATAAGTATTGCTTTGGCCATGACGTTCATGGGAGCCAGAGGAGACACAGCCAAACAAATGTCAGAAGCTCTCCACTGGGAAGCCATGACAAGCGATCAACTGCACGATCAGCAGCGACATTTTCTCGATGCATTACAAGAATCGAACGACGAGGGGAACGAATTATTAGCCGCCAATCGACTTTTTGTGCAAAAAAGTCTTATCATCGAGCAAGAGTTCCTTGAGGGAACAAAAAGATTCTATAATGCGGAAATGGCTTTGACCGATTACCAGAAGGATCCAGAGGGAGCTAGGAAAGAGGTAAATGACTGGGTGGAGAACAAAACGAAAGAGAATATTAAGAATTTAATTCCTGAGGGGATAATTGACTCAAGCACTGAATTGATTCTGGTGAATGCCATATATTTCAAGGGAATTTGGCAAAATGAGTTTGATCGAAGAGCCACTCGTTCAAAAGATTTTTTTGTTTCTAAAAAAAAAAAGGTAAAAGTGAAAATGATGAAGCTGAAGACAAACTTCAAGTACATTGCAAATGTTGGAGAGCTTGGCTGTCAATTGCTGGAGTTGCCTTACCAAGGTGAGGATCTCTCGATGTTGATTCTGCTACCCCAAGACAAGTATGGGTTGGCCAGTGTAGAGGCCAGTCTCACCCATGACAAGTTACAAAAGGCTATTGCACTAACACAAGTACAACCCTCAGGCGAAGTGAAAGTGTACTTGCCAAGATTCAATATGACACAGGAATTCCAACTGAAGAAGCTCCTAGCGAAAATGGGTGTAACAGATATGTTTAACGCGATCAAAGCTGACTTTACAGGGATTTCACCTGGTCTGTTTGTGACCCATGTCATTCACAAGGCATTTGTGGAGGTCAACGAGAAAGGTACAGAAGCTGCAGCAGCAACAGCCGTGATAATGTCGCGGTCTAAATCGCCATCTGGGGGTTCGGCAAAGATTCCCGTCTTTTGCGCTGATCACCCCTTCCTGTTCTTGCTTTGTCATAAAAAGTCAGGTGGCATTTTGTTCATGGGTAGAATGATGAAGCCTGAGCCATTGGACTGAGAGTCAGAAGGAGCTAGTTCTGGATTCGGCCTAATCACAGTTATTCCCTGTTGTGTTACTTTTTTCTTTTGAGACGTAAACTTCATTTCTGAGAAATGTTGCCCCATAAATGCAAAACATATATTTGAATACTAGTAACGAAAAATAAAAATTAATCTTAATCTCATATAATATTATTATCCGGAAAAATCAGAGGGAACTTTTCGGCTGCCTAACGAGCTGTAGAAGATCTGCTAATATTAAGACAATTTTTTTAATAAAAATATTAGAAATTGTGTTTAACAAGTTAACTTAACCATTTCAAATTAACAATGATAATTATCATGATTATTAACAATTAGTGTAGCAGAAAATATTTTAATAAAAGGCTTGGTAAACGTGTTCTAGGCTCTCCTGCCTGTAGTTATCATTATCAATGTAATAAATCAAAGAATTATAAGGACATTGGGGCAAAGAAGAAATCGTTAAAGATAAAAGTCGAGAAGAGCCGTGTGTACTATTTGAATTCAGTCTGTCAACACACAAAACTGAAGGTTTGACTTGGGAATCTATACACAAGTCAACACAAGGATTGATCGAACATTCCGAACATCTCTGCATGTGATCACCCCTTTCTCAAAGATTTTTTGCGTCCCTGCCTAATTTTACGACGTGAAATGATCAAATTTTGAGTTTCGCTTAAGAACGGGCGGCAAGGCAATCAATTCGGGCGCAGTCCCGCCTCTTCAACTCCAGTCTAGGCTACGTTAAAGGCACACGGTACCGGTCGAAAATTCGTACGGTTAGGTGTTTCGTTCAAGGGGAGCCACGCTTACGGTACAAAAATTTGAACGCCTGGCCGTTTAAAAATTTGAACGCTTAAATGGAGGTCAAATTTTTGCTTATGCACCTATCAATGTAAAGCCGGCGGGGGGTGGGGGGTGGGGAGGCAGGGCATGGGGGTGGGGGTGGATTTGACATTTTTCAATTATTTGCCGTCAAATTCCTAGCCTGCGAAAATCATTCCAGTCAAATGATGCAACCAAATTTCCCCACCCCGGGCTGCACATTGCTATCAAAAATCCCAAGGCAGAACCCAAGAAAGGCACACTGAAAATATCTCCAAATAAAACTCTGCAATCTTTATTTATAATTAAACGTTGCTGCATCACCAAAGATACATGTTCCTGTTACAGCTGAAATTATACGTTTTAACCATAATCCGTGTCGCACTGCGTAGAATACAGAAACCTCTCAGGAGAAAGTCCGCATTTTGTAAGTTTAACATAATATACCATTCTTAGTAAATTAAGGGTACAAAGAAAGTCAGTTTTACAAGCTTTATTCAGTGATTGTAGCGAATGAGCCATACACAGATCAATTGTACTTGCAAGAATCGACTTTGTTTCTCTTTACTTCCGTTTACTTTGATACCACAGTATCTTAAGAGGTTCAATTGATCAAAACACGCTAAAGGACTGGTCAAAAAGTATAGGGTGGGTAGGGTGGGGGAGGGATTGTTCCGAAGCAGAGAGGGGATGGGTCATGAGGTTTTGAGCCTTGCGCAAGGGGTGGGTCGTGCAATTTTCAGCTACCCTTAGTGGGGTGGGTCACCCTATTTTATTACATAGATAGCCACTAACTACTAACGAGACAGTTGAATTTTGGAGTTGGAATTATTGCTAAAATACTCACAAACCTGTTGTGCGAGAAAATACAAAGGGTGACAGGCCGCACATCTATACGGGCGTGGAACCCTCTGTTAACCATTTTTTCTTTTTGGTTCTAACGAGCATGTCCTTTAATGATTTTTCTTTTTTGTTAGGAAATGAGTGGTGGTTCTTTGAAAATTTATTGAAGTTATCGCTGGTTTTGTATAAGATTCCATTTTTTTATTCAAGCTTCCTTTATAGTAGACACTGAGAGCTACTGAGGGCAGGTATTGTGTCACGAATGGCAATATTTCTTTTTCCTCCTTGTTGTTTTGTTTTAGGAGTTTAGACTCCTTTTTGTGAATTTTATTTCTGATAGTAGGTTTTCTATCAAAGATTGTGGGTAGCCTCCGTCCCTCAAGCGTTTTTTTAAAAATTTGAATTATTTTCCTCAAAGTTTGTTTCTGAGGAGTTTTTTCGTAGGATTCTCAAGGCTTCTCCTTTGACAAATCCTTTTTTAACATTTGAAGGCTAGGGTGACAAGAGGTGAAATGTGTGTGCAAGAAGGTTTCCGTTTGTTTAAAAAGTGTCTTTGCATCAAGTATAGTTTTTTCCTTGAATCATGTGCCTTTGTATACAACTGTGTCTAAAAACGCAGTCTCAGTGTCAAATGTTTCGGCCGTGAATTCAATAGTTGGGTGGTATTAAGTTTGCTTTTTCAGTGAAGGCTTCGATGTCTGGTTTACTCATGTCCCATAAACTGGGGGGTGGGTCATGCAATTTCCAACCTTGCTTTAGGGGTTGGTCAGTCATTTTTGTGCCGAAGGGAGGGGGTGGGTCATGTGTTTTTTATCAACCCCCCCCCCCCATACTTTTTGTCCACTCCCTAAAACGAACGAAATTTGAAGACAAAACAGTGAAATCCACTCAGCTCTCGCTTGTTCCGGTTGGCCTCCATGATTTCCAGATCTTTCCACACCGTACGGGTTATGCGTGAAGCGTGGAAGCGGGAAACATATGTTCGGTCTCAGTCTTGTTTGTCCGAGTCGGCAGTCAAATATCTCCACTTCGGGCGAAGAAAGATTCAAATATCCCCTCCCTTGGGAGAACAAGATCAGTCAAATGCCCTACCCCAGGGCCAACAAAGACAATCAAATCCCCACCCCATGCCCTGCCTCCCCCCGCCGGCATGACATTGATAGGTGCATTATTAAACCTAATTTGCTTTTCGCCGTCGTCGTTGCTAAGCTAAAGCTCTCTTTGTGGGGACGGGGTCTCCATTTAATAGAGGCAGGGAATGACTTGTTTTCTTAAGGGTGTAAGTATGTTATTGCAGATTTTGACATCACTTAGAGTGTTCAGCATGGAATGTCCATGTTTTCATGCTCACGGATATCACTTGGGCAGTGTTTAGAGGAAAACACAATCAGGTGCTTGTCAATGGCCGAAATAGCCAGTCCAATGAAGGCTGGCCTCATCCGAGTTTTATCACCATGTGTTTGTAGTTAGTTTTGCCAGCCGTGGCCCTGGTTTTAATATTTTACTGTCTAGGGGGTTTGCTAGTCACAGTCTAGGTCCCATGACCATCACAAAAAGTGTAAAATAAATGACATCTTTTAAACAAAGAGTTTTTTCTATAAAACCTTTACTTTATAGAGGATATTACACGGGGCCGCGAAAATATGAATTTTATTTTCGAGTGGCAAAATAATATTTTACGAACGAGCACAGCCAGTGAGTAAAATATTGTTTTTGCCACGAGAAAATAAAATTTATATCTTCAAGCTGCCGTCTAATGTTCTTTTTATTATATAGACAAAAAGACATCGATAAAATAATAGAGGGAAATGACCGAATTTACGTCATCGATAAACTCAGGTGTGAGATTATGGAAAATAAACCACTCGGGTCCCGCATGTAGTTTTTATGAATTTTACGAGTGGTATATTTTCCAGTAAGACACTCGTGTCTATATAATAAAAGACGTTTACACCTTCTAAGAAAGGTTTATTTTGAAACTAGAATAGTGTAATATCCACCTGCTGGAACTACTTTGCCATCAATACAGAATTTGATATCCTACTTTAGATGACTGAGTTGTAGGATATTCCAAGGCTGAAAACAAATTTGCCCAAAACAAATGTTGGGTTTTGACGGTAAAAGATGTACTTGAACTCATTTTGTCATATTTGAAATGGCCGACAAAGCAAAACTATCGCGACGTCTCCTGCTAACGGCGTTGCACTGCATTTACATGAGAAAAAAATTATACGATTCAGCACCAGAAAACATTTCTGTTTTTATTCAACAAAGAAACATTTCATTTCACGATGATGTTTCCCCAAAAAGCCGTGAGATTGGGGGTCTTGTAGTGAGGCTATGACAAAAGTTAAAAAAACGTGAGATCCACAGCAGGTCACGGCAGAATCGTGAGCTTGGACCACTTGGGGAGTCGAAGAGCAATTGCTGATCTCTTCATCATGTTTATTAATTTTCCTGGACGAGTCAAAAAGCTTCAAACTCATAAACTTCTGTCTCAACTTAAATCGTCCTATGGAAGCCACAAAAGCTCAGCACGTCTTTATCGCGGGGACGTTTGGGAACGACCGATTTACGACAATTGTCGTTTGATATCGGGCACTTTCGTGCGACCCGACTAATTACGAAAGCCGTTTAAGCTGAGGGTGACATTTGCGTATCGCAGTGCCCATAACAACTCGTACCTTACGCTTCGCGTAATCCACGAGTTTAAAATAGGCGCGAGAGAAGCGCGTGTGACTACTGCTGAAATAAAATGCATTTTTAACGAGTTTGAATCCTTTAAAATGCATTGCAAGATGTCTCAGTGATTCGCAACGCATTTTTAACCTTTCCTATGAATGCGTGCAACTTCGTCAAATGATGAACAATGATCAACACATTGGCAATGTTATCATTTGTTTTTTTGCTTTATGATAGAAATGATAGCGAAAGGTCAACGCGGGAAACGTAGTCACTCCAACATGTCCCGTAAGAAGATTTTCGTAAGACTTTTGATCTTTCGTGACATTGGGTGGGAAGACTCACAAGACCTGAGAGGAACCTCAGAAATTTATACCTTGACCGCGCTTTGAAGAAGATAAATTGTTACAACAGAAACATCATTTAAATAGAATTTTTAAAGAACAAAAACTCGAAAAATATTCTCTTTCCTTACACGGTGGTCGGTTGCTAGGGCTTTATTATTATTATTATTATTTACTATCGTTTTGTTTTGTATACAACTCCATTTATTTAAATGGTAATGCAAATGAACAGTGTCGTTTTTGTAGAGTTATGTCACTTGAATTAGTTACCTATAATAGGATGTTTTAAACTTGTAAAATACATAGTGTAACGGGAACTTGTCTCGATTTAATAGCGCAATTAGCCGAATTAGCGCTAATAGTATTGGTCCCCATAATACATGTACACAATAACATATACTAAAACGGTTCTTATAACTTCCCATCCTCGGAGACCCAGGGGCAGATAAAGGGGGCGAGGGAAAGTCTAAACGGGCGGAAAAATATATATGGAACGAAGAAAAGTAAAGAACGGCGAGAAGAGCCCCTGGGGACAATGTCTTACCAGACGAGTTCCAAACGGTCGCCGCCGTTCTGGCTTCTGATTGGTGCCAGAAAACTTGTGTTAATCTGGCACCAAGATTTTTTTGTTTCTAAAAAAGAAAAGGTAAAAGTGAAAATGATGAAGCTGAAGACAAACTTCAAGCACATTGCAAATGGTGGAGAGCTTGGCTGTCAATTGCTGGAGTTGCCCTACCAAGGTGAGGATCTCTCTCTTCGCTGTGGCAAAGAAGAAACTATCGCTATGTGGGGGTTCGGCAAAGATTCCCGTCTTCTGTGCTCATCACCCATTCCTGTTCTTGATTTGTCATAGGAAGTCAGGTGGCGTTTTGTTCATGGGTACTAATGGTGAAGCCTGAGCAGGTAGACTGAGAGTGAGGAGTTCTGGATTGGGCCTTTTCACAGTTATTGAAGAATTCTCGATGTTTTGTGGGCGTTTTTAATAAAACAATAATTCCACTCGCGCTTAATTGTTGGATATGAGACGATTATCGCCACCTCATATCGAACGCGCACTCGTGGAATAATTGTTAATGATAAAGAAAAATTTGTTATCAAAATATTAGAAATATTGTTTAACAAGTTTACTTATCTATTTCAAATTAACAATAACAATAATTACTATATAACACTAACAATAATTAACAATTAATGTAGCTGGAAATATTTTAATAAAAGGTTTGGCAACGTGTTCTAGGTTCTCCTGCCTATAGTTATCATTATCAATCTAATAAATTAAAGAATTATAAGGACATGAGGCAAAGAAGAAATTTTAAAGATAAATGTCGAGAAGAGCCTCTTGTATTTGAATTCAGTCTGTCGACGTACAAAACTGAAGGTTTTACTTTGAGATCAACGGTAAAAACCCGCAACTAAGAACCTAAAAATTAAGAACCTGTTAGCCTAAAATTGGTCTTTTATACCCCCTATGAACAAGAACCTATTTAGCCTAAGAAATTTAAAACAGGTTCTTGCTTTCTAAAATCATACTAGTACATTACATGCACAGCTGCATTGCAAGAATCATATTTGAAAAAAAAAGCAGATTGCCATTGTTGTAAAAATGTTTTTTAAAGAAAAATGAGTGCAAGATATGTAGACTTACAAAGTATAGTAAGCAATATGTAGATCAGCACACCATTATGCATTGTTTTTTCTCCAGTATTAAGAACCCATTTTAAGAACCTAAATAGCCTAAAATTCTGTTAACTACCATTTATATAAGAACCTGTTTAGGCTAACTCCTAAAAATGTAGGTTCTTAGTTGCGGGTTTTTACTGTATACACAAGTCGACACAAGGATTGATCGAACTTGCCTAACATCTCTGCACGTGATCACGCCTTTTTGAAGATTTTTTTGCGTCTCTGTCCAACTACGACGTGAAATGATCAAATTTTGAGTTTCGCTTGAGAACGAGAGGCAAGGCGATAAATTCGGACGCAGTAACGCCTCTTCAACTCAAGCCTAGGCTACGTTGAAGGCAAACGGTACCGCTCGAAAATACGTACGGTTAGGTGTTCCGTTCACACGGAACAACGCTAACCGTAGGAAAATTTGAACGGCTAGCCGTTCAAAAATTTGAACACTAAAATCAAGGTCAAATTTCTGACCGGTGCGGTCGAAAATTTGAACAGCAAGGTGTGTATACGGTGACTGGCAAATTTTTGTACAGCAAAGGCGTGGTTGCATGGATGCGTGGTTACTCAGCTGCAAAAATAGGAAAATTGCAAACAGAAATTGCGAATATGGATTTACTAGTCGTGTTATTACTCGCTTTGCTTGGAAATATTACGATTCGAACAACTCCGTGTGAACAGCGCCGAAACATTCGGAACGGTTCCGTTTGAACAGGGTGTCTGGTAAAATTTTTCGACCAGTACTGTGTGAAGGAAGCCCTTGTCTATTGCCCGTTATTTTTACTGAGCAACTTGGAATAATCGGAAAAAAAGTTTGAAACAATAAGAAGTCAAGTCTATTCCTCAGCGACGTGTTTATTGGTGTCGCCGTTGTCGAATCGTACGGTCCACAATAGGAAGCTTCAGGAACGACGATGGTGAAACGTCACTATTCCAAAGTCTTTGCGTTTTTTGTTTTCAAAGTTTGTCGTAATTAGTACAACTGAACTCATTTTGATTGTCAAATGTTGGTATATTTCCCTGGAATTGAAATCTTGGAGACGGAACACGATTTAAGTAGGGGAAAGAAAAGTTCAGTGGCAGTGTTGTGTTTACGTCTGTTTCCGTCCTCCACAAACGTCTCGTCAGGGATTTTCATATTGCAGTCGTGCAGTGACGGCAAAGGGTGCTGCACGTGAATTCTGCACGTGCAAAGTTGTTGTTTTGCTTATTAAACCTTTTGCTTTTCGCCGTCATTGTTGCTAAAGCTCTCTATGTGAGGGAGGGGGTCTTCCATTTAATAGAGGCGGGGTATGACTTTTTGTTGTTGACTTGGGTGTAACTATATTATTGTACATTTTGATATCACTTTGTGTTCAAGATGGAGTTGGAATGGAATGCTCATGTTTCCATGCACACGGATATCATTTGGACAGTGCTTGAAGATGCTTGTCAATGGTCGAAATAGCTAGGCCAATGAAGGTTGGCCTTTATCCGAATCTGATGACTATTAAGTTAGTTTTGCCAGCCAAGAGTCTGGTTTTAATATTTTACTGTCTAGGGGTTTGCTAGTCACAGTCTAGGTCCCATGTGGGCCATTACAAAAAGTGTAAAATTACTGACAACTTTTAAACATAGAGTTTGTTATAAAACCTTTATTTTAAGAAGTTTACACCTTCAAAGAAAGGTTTATTTTGAAACTAGAATAGTTTAATATCCACCTGCTGTAACTGACAAGTTTACCATCAATACAGGATTTGATATCCTACTTTAAATGACTGAGTTGTAAAACGTTCCGAGGCTGAGAACAAATTTGCTTAAAAAAAATGTTGGCTTACGCAAGAACTGACTTCGAAATCAATAATAAAGGTGAAGATATTAATATATAGTCGTAGAAAACGATGCTCGTCTTGTGCAGTACAATTATCAATCCAGAGACACCTGTTTTATCAGTACCAAGTTCTAGCAAGAATGGCTATCAGACAAGTATAAAACAACCCTCCCTCTCCACAAATTTATGCCCATTGCTAAAGTATAATTCTTTCAACTCTCATGCAGGCATGCATAACTTTCAATGCTCCTTCCCTAAACTAAGCCTTGATGGGCAAAGTAACATTAAATATAAACCCAGCACACTTAAAAATGCAAACTTTCCTCCAAACATCCCACCCCATGTTCCCACAAAAATAAGAAGTAAGAAAAAATGACCTAAAAACAGATACCAAATGATGATTTTACAAGCCTAGGGTTTAGACTGTGAGCCGTCTCTTATTTTTCTCTTCAATTTTCAAAATCCCTTTTTGTAACGTCGTTGTTTGCAATCGCGTTGCCTGGGATGAGAACTAGACGGATTTCAAGAGAAAGGGCAGACTGCAAGCAGTCTAATTATACAGCATCCCGTCCACAAAACACTGAACATAACAAAACCACATTAGTTATCTTGAAATCCGAGAAACTAATCCCTTCATTGACTTGGTCACAGAACACCCAATCAGTCCCTGGTGCAGACGTTTCACACGTTTTCCTCTACTGCTAAGAGGAATTAGCACAGGCCGGTGTAGTTGACATGTTCCTTGATAATGTGGAAAAGGATTTTAAACAACTAAGCTTTGTATCACTGAATCAGACACTAGTCAGGGAGAAAGTTAACATTCGGCCTATTTTCAAACAAAGTGTCCACCACAGAGGAATCAGCCATTGTTGTAGTGTCACCAATATTCTTGTCATTCTTTGCAACATGCCGCAAAACTCGTCTCATGATCTTCCCAGAACGAGTCTTAGGAAGCCCGGGGGCATTCTGAATGATGTCAGGGGTTGCAAATGGTCCGATTTTGGTGCGAACTGAAATGAGAGAAAACATAAGAATACTTTTACAGGGTGTAAACGTATGTAGCGGTACCAACATTTATTTACTGGTACAAAATAATATTTTATGGTGACTAAAAATGTAACAGTGTAATTTTTATTTGAAAGAACTTGTCTAGATTAGTAAGGAGAAAGTACATTTGATCGACCCTTTCCAGGCATTTTCAACTTATGACTGGGACCAATTAGCGATGCGGCAAACAATACATTGCAGAGACCAAGCGCCAACAGGCTCCACGACTGACTCTTGGAGAAGATCGCCGCTCTATCCTTAACTCTGGCCACCTTACTAATCCTACTCCTGTCTCTAAACATTTTAATCAAGCCGATCACTCCATCAACGACGTCCTTCTTGTTATCTTACAACTAATCCGTAGTAACCTTGACTCTGTACAGAAAGGCACGTGAGGCTCACCTCTATTTGTTCTATCACTCTTTCTACCGTAAGGATCAGTTAACTGTTTTAACTTTAAAATTTGGTGTTAAAGATTTTACTGATCCAGGTCCGGCTGACCCTCACTGGGTTTTCGTTGTGGTTTCTGTGCCATTTAAAATAAACGAGTATGTAGTCACAAGCTGAACGTCAAAGAGATTAAGATATATCCTTGACCATTGTTCCCAAGTGACTTCTAGTAAGATCTTTTCAACTTCCCCTTCACTGGTAAACATTCACTCTTCAATGCATTAATTCATTTTGTTGAGAACGTTTTTGGTGATGTTAATAAGCTCAGTGGAACACAGTAAATCAACAATCAATGTAAACATTTTTGTAAGTTATTACCTTTTTGCTTGAGTTCATTTTTCAGCTGTTCATTAAATTCCACTCCCTACAGAAAATACATAACCACATAATTATTGGATTTTGCAGGACGTTCAAGGTATACAGTTACCCTAAACATTGAATGACAATGCTAATTGTGTTGATTTTAGAAAATACAGGGGAAGCTCTCCTAACGGTCACTCTTGTAGGCGGACAGCTCTACTCACGGCTGCTATCACAAGACCCCGTTTTTCTTAACTCCAAGCATATAAACTTTAATTTCCGCCTGTGGCGCTGACGAAGCAAGGAGCCTAAAGCAAAATTTGCTTGGGGGAGTGGGGTAATAAGACACGATCCGTGCTTAGTTACCTATCCACCTTCAGCAGGGGCGGATCACGGATTTTTTTTTTAGGAGGGGTGCTCCACTAAGGAATGCCGTAACTGCCCAGTGACAAAGATAAATTTTAATACCAGTTGTGTTAGAAAGCCGCAGGTCATCTCAGGGGGAAGGGGAGGGGGCGCACCCCGCACCCTCCCCTTAGATCCGCCCCTGTTCAGTCTGTGGTGGAAAGGTACCAACAGTTTCAATGCCTAGCGCAAAAAAACTATCAACATGTGTACGATTCTACATTACCTCCATCAGGGTAGTGAAACAGTATATTCCTTCCCCTTTTTCTTTGTGAGGACAAGACACCTAGTGAAAAAAAACAAACAAACAAACAAACAAATGTGTTTAGTTTAAAAAACGAAACAAAAATGGATTTTGTGTTTACAATTTAAGTTAATTTGTTATCCTTTGTTTAAATGTGTAGGTGTATTATTTTGCTTTTTTAATTTAAAAAAAGCAGCTTAAAACTTAATATGATAGCGACAATGTCTATAGCTTTAGAATCATAATAAGAAACAAAATATATTACTGTGAAACACTGTTCATGCGGACACCAAGGGGACTTATAACCACACTGTCGCAATCCGTTTCAAGGTTCTTCAAGTTTGTCCATCTGTGCCTTCTTTTGTAACTTTCTTTAATATTTTGAGTATTTAATTTTAACTTTCACTCAATTTAGTGGCAGCTCCTACTGTTTGAATTTAGATTGAATTTACGACACAGCTCCTTTAAGCAAGGTTTCAAACTTACAACAGCAGCCTCGGTGACTGCATCATGCTCCACCAAGGCACTCTCAACCTGCGCTGTACTCAGCAAGTGACCTGACACGTTCATACAGTCATCAGTTCTACCCGTTATCCAATAATAACCATTACTGTCCCGCTTACAACCTTCAACAAGAAAATGTACAGCAATCAGTGGCATGCGAACACAGGAGCTTAAGCTCACAAGGAAGAACCCTTGATGCATATTAATTATCAAGTGAAAGGTTTAATGAACACGTATGGGATTTTTATAATTTTGCAAAATAGGAGTCAATGCATGGAAATAAAAATTAAGCAGAATGCCATATCTTGTGGCCATTTCTTTATACTGTGTGTTTTTAGCAGTTTTGGTCAATTCAGAGCAATTCCATATACGTGAATACCATTGTTCTCTCTGAACATCATAATTATGATGAAGGTTTCGCTCTAAAATGGCCGCACAATAAAATTAATAAAACATGGGGAAAACGTAAGGCAATGAGTTCCTTACAGTTGTACGTCACTAAAGATACTGAAAAAAGTATTTTTCCACATTGCCAAGAATGTTATTTACAGATCAAGGCTCAAAATAACGGACAGCAGGTCGCCGGTCATGATGACCGGCCAAATATTTTTTAGCCCGGACAAACCCCGATTTTGGCCGTTCAAATTAATGAATATTATAATTATTTTTTTGCCGATGGAATATCGAATTACGCTGGCAGTAGATCGCTGTACGGCATTGTCGTTCAGGTTTTTGCCGGCAAGTTGGTGAAAAATTCATTCACACGTTGTTGAGTTCTTTTCCGCGATTTTCGCCCGTTTTATGTCCGTTTATATATACCTTCAGTATCATCGTACGGCGGTGTCGGAAGTCTCCAAGGTTCGTCCTATATCTGCATATCGGTGAAACTTGATCCTTTTCGTTGCCCGGCACGTGATCGAAAGTCTCCTCTACAAAGAAGAATTTCGTCACTAAATATTTGCGGCAAGGAAGTTGATTCGGCAAGAAATTTGTTCCACAAACAGCGTATTCGTCATCAGAAGTCAATAAATATACAACAGAGCTTTCGTTTGGGTCGTCGCGCAACACTTAATCGCGAACGGCTTATCAAGAAGGAGGATTTTAAGCGCCGAGATAGGCGACGTTCGTTCTCGATTAGCTTAGTTTTTATCAGACAATTCTGGAATCGAGTCTGCAAACGAGATCATGTTCGACATAAAGAAATTATTATAAATATTATTATATATATTGCAAAGCAGCAAAAAAAGACAAAGAAAGCAGCGAATTACAGCGTTATAGAGCAAAACGCATTAAGCGACAAGCATCCAAAAATGACCGGTCAAAATGACCGGCCAGACGAGAGTTTGACCGGTCAAGCCCACGATCAGACCGGACATTGTCCGTTGACCGGCCGTTATTTTGAGCCCTGCAGATCATGTAAGCGTTTTCAGAATTTTTTTTCCTAGTCCATATGCAACTAGAGATATCTGTACAAACACATGTACAGGAAATTAATTACTCACCATCTCCCGTTGTGTAGTATCCGGGGAATTTAGAAAAGTACACCCTTTCAAATCTCTCATGGTCACCATAGATAGTTCTTGCAATGCCCGGCCAGGGCTGTTTCATCACCTTCAACATTAATTATAACAATTAAATGGGGGTTTAAAATGTCATGGAATAATGTAACATCGTCTTGTCTAACTTACAGTAATCACAGTGCAAAGCTGACATAAAGGAGTTCTGAACTTTCTGCAATTCAATGTTTAAGGCTGTAGATGAGATTAAAATTAATTCACTTGGCAATTAATCACTTGCAAGGGTGTGCTCGAAAAAAAAAATGCTCTGGACCTGTGAAATCCAGGATACTAAAAACATAATAATGCTATCCATGCAAAACATAAGATTTCAACGTCGCTTGAGAGACCATAAAGCTATATGTTGCATTTTTTTTTTAATAATTATAGTTTAGTACTTAGTATCTATAGTATTTAAATTATTTAGCTGTATCTTCTATTTTATATAGTTTAGTATTACCTATTTAATAATATTGTTTTTTCATTATAGTTTAATTGCTATTTTAGAAGGCCATAAGATTATTAGCTCTGGCTATTTAGTGGCAACCATCGTTAAATAAAGTCTTTATCTTATCTTATCTAAAAGTTACATGAAAAGGGTCACCTGGCACCACTAGTGCAAAGCCCTGCACGCTGAAACGTCATTAAGAAAAACTCCATTGCCATTTTTTTCCAGACATAATATTTACTGTAAAGACATTTTCCCCAATGTTTTTATACGTAGTTTTCAAAAAAAGACAATCCCTATAAGGTATGATATGTCACACTCACCAGAAATCCTTCACATGGTCCTTCAAGTTCATTTCCATGTTCATCAACAATTGCCGGCACAACACCAAAAAATGGAAATGACTAATTAAGAGAATAATAACAAGTTGTCAGTAATTATAGATAAAATAATAATTTAGAACATACTTCAAAACTTATATAACCAATAAAGGACCACAATGTACGTAAAAAAGTGTGTGGCACATGACCTTGGTTGCACTATTACACAGATTTAGCTATAAGTTAAGCAGAGCTTTTATTACATAGTTAACTGTTTACTTGAAACAATAATTAACTTCAAAACATTACTTAGAAATTGAGCTAAATACTTCTGACAAAAAAACCTGAGCAAGTGATCTAGTGCATAAACTGGTCATCAAACAACTTCCAGAATATTGATGACCTCAGAGGGTCATGGATCTGAACCTACAATACTGTCATGTGATACAAGTCAGCAGTTGTCCCACTATGACTTAATTGGAAGATGCATAAAAAATTATTGTTAATCACTTTGATAAAAGGATGTACATTGGTGTACACAAAGAGGGTGAATTGTTGTACATGGACAATTATGTAATTATCAGAATTTCTCGGATGGACACATACTGGTAACCAGCTTTTTTCTTGCTCGTGGCTGGTGCTCCACACATGCCCGTGCCCTACACATGCCGATGGGTGGAACCCCACTACACTTGCTTGACAAGTCTGCAGATGCTTCAAGGCTGCAGTACCCTGTGAACAGAGTCTCCTTCGATCTTCCTAGATAAGTCGGGAAGGGGATCGCTTCCTCTTTCCCGACTTATCTAGGAAAGATCGAAGCAACTCTGCTAGCAGGGTAAGGCTGCAGGAATGAGGTCTCGTCTTTTTTTATTTTGCTTAAGCACAGTCTACACAAGAAATGCTATAACAGAGCTAATTAAGGTCGTTCAAAACGTTAAGAATAAACTTTGCCATAATTCCAACTCAGCTGATCAGGATGAACAAAACTTACTGCTGCTCCTGGTCGCATGGGGGTAGCTCCTGGAAGTGATGTAATCACATGACCACCCTACAACAAACAGAGCATATTAACATCAATACTCCACAATAAGAGTTTAAAAGTCTCCTGAAAGCATTTACTTGAAAGGAACTAATGTTAGGGCTTCTATAGTAGTTGCCTGCTAGGTTGCTTGATGGAATTTTCACTTAATTTGTGATCAGCCACTTGTGAGGCCTGGTTATTCAATAAGCTTTCTGTTTACTTAATAGGTTACTTTCAAATTACAGAAAGCTTTAGTCTCTTTCAGGGCCAGTCCTAGCCTGGGTGCCCATTCCTTTTATATAAAAATGAATTTTCATTAACACACACATTTAACTCAATTCCTCCAGTGCTTTGATAAAGAGAAAAAAAAGATATGGGCAGACTGAATAAACTTTCTGTCATTGTATCAGCAATAGTGTACTTTTTTAATACCAATTTTCCTGGAAAGCAGGGTACAGTACGAGCTAAAAATTGACCAGAAGTTTGGTAAATTTATAATGATACAACAATAATAATATTATAACTTGCAATAACTTTATCCCTGTGTTACATGTAAATGCATCTACAAGTAGCGATTCTGCTAAAAAAAAAAGCTACTTACAGCTATACAGAGAGTCCATTCTTTCTAGAAAGTGTCTAAGTAGAAGCTGTCTAGAATTTAGCTTTTGCTTTGTGTCAAAATACCAGTACACAAAAGCAACAGCCAACATTTTGACAGCGATTCCCAACCTTGCCAGCATGGTTTACTCACAGTTTCTGTCTGCCAGTAAGTATCCACAATGGCGCATTGTGCATCACCCACTGTATGGTAATACCAAAGCCAAGCTTCAGGATTTATTGGCTCTCCTACAGTTCCTAGTACTTTCAGGGACTTACGACTGGACCTGCAAAATAATTAAAACAAGAGTTAACTGCATTGCATGGTGTTAATGTTCTCATTTTCACTGTTACAATAACCATGGATTTTGCCTGTATGCAATGCTGGCATCCTTGTAACACCCCAGGGCATTACAGGCGATCGTCTTGAAGTCTCAGGGGAGTCCTTTTGCCCATTTTAACAAGTGTTATCCTATGATTTACATGCGGGTTGCTTTTACCAAATATCGCCATTCTTAGACGGGTTATTTTTTACCCTTCCACCTCCCCTTCAGCAACACATATCCCCCTCTCCTCTCTCTGTCTTACGACCCTGGGCCTTTGCAAAATCTCCCTTCTCATAACTTAGTTTCGTGAAGACAGTAAGTGGTTGTTCTGACAGTGAAAATAGTGGATGATTAGTGTTTATGCAGTTAACGAAATATTTTTGCTATCTGTGATCCTTCATATTAAAATAACTGGCCAAAAAAACCCTGTTTACTTAGATACAGTGTATCTGTAGCTATAGACTTGTTTACCAGTCTCTGTTTGGGAAAATGAGCTTGCACTCCTTCCTCTAGTCAGACTACATGTATTTTGATTAACTGGTAGTTTCTGCTTACAGCTTGCATAGTATATGCTTGTGAATCAAACAGAGAGTTAGATATTTAAAAAATAATATGGATCAGAAGACACTTGGAGTCTTATTTCAAGCACCCTTTTATTATTTTACTGTTTCCTAGATGAGATTTTTTTATGTATTTCTTCACTTGCCAGTTTTTGATAACCAGTTTTATTCAATTCTCAGCATGGCTGCTTTAATAACTTATTGACATCACTGGCATAAAAAAAAAACTGCATACATTTGTGAGCATAGCCTGATTCAGGGTGCAAAGAAAATCATTTTTACAGCTTGCTATTCGGGCAAGCTGAAGCTAGCATTTTTATACTAGCCCAGACGTCATTTCAACTAGTCCCAAAAACTTTTTGTTCTTCTGTTATTCAAATTCCTCATAAAGCATCACTTGCCCGTCGGGCAAGTTAAAAACAGAATTCACTAGCCCGATACCAAAATCCACTAGCCCCTGGCTATCAGACAGTACTTTCTTTGCACACTGCTGGACACCATTATCAGTTCTTTGCGTATCCATTTTTCAAGTGAGTGTTAACTTACTTCTTTACTACAGACTTTCCGAACTTCATGAGAGCTCTAATGGCTGTTGGAGCTGTGTAAAACTTGGAGACATTGTATTTGTCAACAACATCCCAAAAGCGCCCAGAATCAGGGTAAAAAGGAGTTCCCTCAAACTATAATCAACAAAAAATTGAGTCAAGGTAAAAAAAAAAAAACTATTGCACTATTGCCTATGCATTCAGTGCTGCAAAATTAATGAAAGTTGTTATTGGACGATATAGGTACTGCATGTCTGACTAAAATTTGTCCATGTTGAAGTTAATCTTAATAATTGCAGTTGAATGTGGTAACTAGACAAATCATTACTGTACAGATTACTGTACAGATCATTACTAACAATACATAACTGTGCTGACTGGCTATTACTGTATTATTTCAAAGCTGATAATCTGAAGCACATATACGTGTAATATCAAATGTAGAACTGTAAGGTGTTCTGGTCTGTCCTAATGGTGACCTGGTCAACAAATGTTATGAACCCTTACAAAAAGAAAAAAAACTATATTTAAAATACAGCGGCCCAAAGTGAATCACATTGTCTTTGCAAAAGACATGGGTTCAGTGACATTCCTATTTATAAAGTGTCATTATAATAATAGTTATTATTACAAAGCTGTACCAAATGGATTAAAAAAGGGTGTTTAAAACAGTATAATAATTCTCTATAAGATGAACTATAAAATTTGCAAGTGTGAGGCAATATTAATGAGGAACTGTCAAAGATAGATTATTGCAATCAAAAGTGAATTGACTTTTATACCAGAACATTTGTTGCACCATTTGCTAATGGGCCATAAGTGATGTAACTATGGCCTGTGATCCAGCCGATATCAGCTGTACACCAGTAAACTTCTCCTGGGTGATAATCAAATGTGTATCTGCAGAAACACAAGATGCAATTATTGCTTCATTTCAAACTGAGGAGAGCTGGGTACAAGTCCCATGTATTATGGGATATTCAACAGGTCAAGTCTCAAGTTTGATGTTCATCCGGCTAATATTTAACAGCCGTTTAAAAAATTACTAGGGGGTGCATACATGCATGGTTTATGGGACACACTCTCTTGACATCTATGTATGTTCATGTCAAAATTTTTTAACATAGGTTTATTAACAATTTCCTATGTCTCCTAGCACTGATTATTCAAGAAGAAGGGCTAAAAGACAAAGGAATTTGAGAATCAACCTAAGCTAAAAAATTTAAACCTGAATTTAACAGCTAGATACATAATTTTGTTAGTAAATTCTGGAGTTTTGCGACACCATTCCAACATGAGAGCAGAAGTCGCCAGCAACAGAGGCCATGTCAGTCTGTACTGTACCACCAGCATGCCTGCAAAGTTGATTTGAGTTTGACTTCACATGTACAGGCATTGCTGGCGGTAAAGACCTGCAATGTCGGCGGTAAAGACCGCAATGGCAGTAAAGACCTGCAAATCAATGTCAATGTCGGAGTAGTATCGCAGGTAGTACAGGCGGCAGGTACTTTGCCGGCATTATGAGAACCAAACTTTAAATTTAAAACCTCTTGTCGTCTACCCTCAAAGCTGTTCTATTGAAAAGGGAATTGTTCAACCGACCCACTGACCCCACATAAAAAAAAAACAGTGATGTCTTGAGTAACCCCCTTTCAAACCTACAGCTGTAGTCCATAAAAAGAGGGTGCCTTTCCAAATCAAGTTACCGTTGGAAAGCTTCATGTACATGAACAATAATTCATGACAAAACTTACTTGAAGGTGGTTGCTGTGTAAATCATGTAGCCTCCTACTGTATGAAGAACACCTTTTGGTTTCCCAGTTGATCCACTGGTTAAAAATAAATAAAGGAGCAAGTAAGTTGTTGGTTTGAGATACAAACAAGCTACAGTTGTCCCATACTAATCAGCTTATACGGAGGTTGCACTTTTCATTTAAAAACTTTCTTTCGTTCCAATAAATTTGCATACACATATGACCTCTCAAGTGAAAACCTAGTGACACTAATGGCATACTGCAGGGCACATAAGTACAGGGTAAAGAGAAACAAAATAGAACAAGTTAATTCTTACTCAGGAAACAATGCAACAACAAGGTTCAAATCCAGAACCACAAATTCCTTAATCTTACAAGTTAACCACTTGGTTACCTGATGCCTCCACAAAGACTACTGACAGTTACAGCTGTAACTGCACATTATCAAATGAAGGGATGAATTGCATAAATAATTTATTAATATGTGCCAAGTAATTCGTTCTATTAATGGGGTGGAAGAGGGAAGAATGACTGAGAATAGGAGTAAATAGTAATAGAAAGAGTAAAGCTCATTTTACCTGGTATAAAGCATAAACAAGGGATCTTCAGCGTCAGTCCAGCAGGGATCACACTGATCACTTACTGAAGACATCACATCATGCCACCAACAATCAATACCATGCACATCATCAAAGTGAGTCTGAAAATATACATTATAGAGCAGTTACAAAATTAAATTTGCTGATGCATGTGAAATGTCACCAGATAATATTATTAGTCATAGTATCAACAGAATATCCTCAAATAAGCACCCACACTCTAATAAGTGCTCTTAAAAGCTACTCCCTAGGCCAAACTATCAAACAAGCACCCCTTTCGAATAAGCACCTTCCTTCCCCTCCCCCTCGCTCTCTAACAAGGATTCTGTTATATTGCACCTTCATTTATAACTTCAACTTCAACATTTTATGCCAATACATAAGTGTGTAAAAAAGTGTACAATAAGATTAAGGCATGCTTAATAACCCAATTATTATTGTTATTTTAAAAAAGGAAAGCCATCAACATTGACTTTTAATTAGAATAAACTTATTGTTATTGAATGTAATGTTTAATGAGTGTCTTTAAACCTGATAAAGACACACGCCTAAACTTTACATCCAATTTTTTAGACCAAAATACATGTAACCCCAAATCTAAATAATATTTATCAGTGCAAGAATGAGGTGATCTACATGAATATCAGAGTTTTTGAAGCTGTTAAAAAAACTTGCACTCACTTATATTTATGAGGTAAAAACTCTAGGCATTGCCTCGAGTTTTTAAACCTGATAATACACTCCTGCTTAACTCGGATCACCTGAGTTATAATACCTGGAGACTGTTAGTTTTATTACTGGTAGATTGTAAAGGTTACTTGTAAGATTATGAATCATAATTTTGTTGTATGATTAACAGCATTTACCGGAACTTCAGGACAGGGTCTCTTGGCCACAGGTGGATCAGAATTTCCATTATCTGCTCCTCTACTAACATGCTGAACAACAATGCAGCTTTCAACAACAAATCCTCTGAAAAAAATGCAAATAAATAAACAAGACAAAGTGTGTAAATAAGAAAATTTTAAAGGAAATGATTAAAGAAAGTAGGTATTAAAACATAAAGGTAAAGATGAGGCATGATAAGAAGTTCTCAATTGATGCATCATTCCATTAGAGACATAAATTATTCACAATTGTTTTCTTAAGTTCTCATACACTGTAACTAAAGGATAGTATATCTAAAATTATAGTTGGCCCTGGAAATTTGGCTCCAATTGTCACATGTCACAAATTAATATTTCTGATGAGTCTTGAACTCACATTTATGCATCAATTCTTTCCTAGTTGAAGCCTTGCGCATTATATTGCTGTGGATCAGAATCTTTTTAACAAGCAACTCAACATCACAATAACTGTAGGATTTACAGCACCATAAACCATCCCCTCCATTGATGAGTATTAACAATCAGTACTCACTCTTCTTTGCACATCCCTATGGCTTCATCGGAAATTTCTTTCAGATTTATAAGCTTTTTACCTCTATAGGAACCATCTGAAAATAAGCATACATGAACATGACTTCACCATTTGAACAGAGTCAGGGAAAGCTGACTTTACAAGAAAGGACCATTTTTACTTAATGGTAGTGATAGGAATCGGCTGAGATTTTATCTTCGATCATTGGAAATATTGGGATTCACCCAACTGATTGATCATTGATTATAATCGGAAAATTTTAAAAATCTACTGTATTGTTAAAAAAAAACATGTCTGTTTCACCTGTGTACAAATCACAGTGGTTTTATTTTATTGTTACATGTATCTCGCAGTATAAAACTTTGGAATGCTGTCCACATTATGAGTAGTATAGGGCACATAACGTAACCTACACCACTTGAGAAGCTATACTTAGAAGTAAAAAAAGGTCGGTACAAAACCTAATACAATCCTAATATACATAATGATATGAATCTCTCTACTTAAAAAGCCAATTTAGAATACAATACTCTGTAAAACCCACGCAAAGACATGATGATTTATTATTATCTCTACTAGAGGCCTATTTAGAAAATTATTCAGTTTTTATACTCTCATTATCTCTTATATACCTAAATGAGGCCATAATAATGTGGTTAGCTCTGCTAAAGGCATATTTTAGAATAATATCAAACTCTAATAGTCTATAAAATCTAAGTAAAAACATCTGATTCAGTAAACTTGTGTTCCTGGATTTCTAGAGAAAAAAAAAATAAACTAAAATCTGGTATCCTTAGTACCCTAACTAAGTATTTATCTTAAATGTTCTGGCAATGCTAAAAGTGTTTGAGATGACTGACTTCTGCATCCACTCCGCTTATTATTATAATTATTATTGTAATTATTATTAACATTAGTTAACTAACTGATTTCTTCTCAACAGAATTTAGAAATTGCATTCCCCACGCCTGGTAGTTTATTTAATCTGCAATTGATGGGAATTTACAGTTTACACTCAGTTTACATACATGTACTAAATCATTGTCTTCAACAGAACCATTCAACATTTCAACATTGAATAACTTTTTGTCCACGATAATCGATTGTCATCATCCACAATCGATTGTCACATCGCTTAAAGATTTTGAATCAATGATCGATTATAATCAACGGCACACCACTACTTAATGGTGGTCTTATTTACTAGGTACATGCGGCCAAAAATTCAATTATGTGGCACATTACTGTTTTTAGAACAGTTAATGTTTTATAATTATGGCATGAGATATATCATTGCTGCCAAACTAAGAAAACTAAAAAAGGGTAAAAGGGTAATTTTCACTGTGCTAGTGGAAGGTTGAATTCACTGTTATGTACTGTTGCTGCTAGCAGTTTCATAAAGTTTCTTGCCACTGAATGGCTTTTCCCTGATAAATATGGTGATGCCAGCAGCTGTGACAGTATGCATTTCTCAGCTGTGGGGAGACCCTGGGGACATCCCTGGGCAAGGCAACATGAAAATTTTATTGCAGTTTGGAAGTACCTTGAAATACTGCACTTTGTGACCTAAGGTTCCATCTGAACCAACTGTTGCCTCAGGGGGAGGAGCTAATGGTAACCTTTTTTGGTAAACTGTGGAGAGGTTGATTAGTGAATGTTGATCTGTAAAAATGCCCAGGGGTTCCCAGGGGTCAACCCCTAGGTTGGACGCTGATAAGTGCATTATAAACAACAATAAAGGAGTATTACAATTTACTTACTATAATTTACCTGCTGTGATTAGAATTCTACACTTGGAATCAAGGATACGTTCTGCCAGAGATTCTGCTGAGAACCCACCAAACTAAGAAAATAAAGAAAAAAAGACCATTAAATTTTGTATGTGTCTGTATGATATGTGTCATATGTCTTTTAACAGTTTAATTTCAACCAGGTATATATTTTTCAACCTAGGTTATTAATAATTGGATGTAAAGGTTGATTTGCAGAGTAAATGGAATTTGTAATTCACTTTACTGTGGACAGCAATATACATTTGTATTTTTAGCTATTCTTTAGCCATTTTATTTTTTTTAATAATCAATTACTGATAACTGGTCATAGATTACAGTGTATGCCAAATGTTATCAAGCAAACCTATTTTTGAACCTTTTTCGAACATACACATGTTTCAAAAAAAGTTGTGCTGTAAGAAAACAATAATGAAAATATCTTGCACCTCAGATTTTTATGCATACACATTTTCTGTGTACATTAACATAATTACAACTGTACTTTTTCCTGTTGAATAATAGCCTGCGTGCAGACAATAACTAAACTCTGATTAGTACCGTCTGCGAAGCAGCGAAGAGATCCTTGTTCTGGACCCCCAACAGACTCAACGAATTACCGGAAGTGCGTTTCGAATTTCCCTTCAACCTGATTGGCTATTACCGGTCTTGCGACAAACAAAACAAAGGTCTTTTTTAACTGGCCAATCGTGGTGCGTACTCAAATCTGGGTACACAGCTGGAAGTCCAGAACAAGGATTTCGGCGCTGTTTTGCAGACGGAGTTAACCAGAGTTTAATTTCGTCTGCGCGCAGGCTAGTTGAATAATAGCATTACCTACTCACCACAATAGAGTGGACAGCTCCTATTCGTGCACAAGCCAACATGGCAACCACTAACTCATTGATCATTGGCATATAAATTGCTATACGATCACCTTTCTTGATGCCTATAAAGGTGTACACGATGACTATAATTACTTCATAAAGTGCAAACATAACCTGAATCAAGTCACTAAATGACAAAGGTTAGGGATATAAGTTACGTCAGGACTTGATCTGATCCAGATTTTGTCACCACCATCTTTAAAAGAAGGGCAGAAAATGAACTCTTTGCCATTTACCATACAGTGTATTATTAAATAATGGCAGCAGGAAACACCTTATGCAACATACTGTATGCAGTTGCAAAAAGAAATTGAGGCACCTCTGCATAAGTTGTGCACTTAACTGCGATGATCTTTGATTCTCTGCGTCTATTTCTTCATCCTGCAGTTCAATGCATGTACTTGTATATGGCATTCATATACTCATCATTTCATCTTCATCTTTCACAGGTATTTACATGTACAAACCAATTCAATGACCAGCACCCAGATGGTCTACTAACTCAATTGGTTAGAGCGCTGCACCAGTATTGCAGAGGTTAGGGTTTGATTCCTGACAAGCCTCAGCCTGAATCTTTTCAGGCTATCTTTTTGCAACTGAATACTGTAAGTGGCATATTTAACTGTGATGATCTTCTCTACATTATTTCTTCATCCTGCAGTCCAAATATGTGAAATTCATATTTCCATCACTTCATTATTGCTATCGTTTTTTATTGTTTGGGCTTTTTTTAAAATATCTAAACAAATTTGTAGTGTACTTAGCCATCACAACTTGACAAAAATATCACCTTTGTCTTTCAACACATTTGCAAACTTGCAGACTTCTGAGAGAAGTTCACGGTATGTAATCTGCTTGCTATCTCCAGGAAAATTCCCCTCCCTGTGTATGAGTAAGTACACAAAAGGAAAAGAAAGTTTTAAAAAAAATTGCAATATATTATTTTTTTTGCACCTACTTTCCATGCCCATCCTCAGATCTAAAGGTCCCTGATGAATCATGCTGTTGTAGGCTTTCTGTTACATTATGTAATGTTATGTTGTGTTATGTTAATTAAGAGTGATTACCGTTGATTGAGTAAGCACAGGAACAATGAACAATGCAAGTAGCTCAGTGTCGGATGATTGAGTTGTCTTTAAAATCGAAGCCATAGCTAATGGAAGCTAAATAAAGCCTTTACAACTGTGTCACTGGACTCCTGAGATTAGTTCAAGGGGATATTTAACAATTTCAACCTACATGTACACTGTACAAAATTTGATTAATCCTTTAGTAGGACTCACATTGGACAATAAGAAGACAATTGCACTCACTATAGTGGTGAATTATTCACCACTATAGTGAGTGCAATATTATTATTGCACTCACTATAGTGGTGAATAATCTTGAAATGCACCCTTGTGTTAACCAATGTTGTTATACTTGGCTGGCTGGTCATGCTAAGTTATTATGGAAACCAATATTTTCAAAGTACTGAAGTGAAATCCCAACAAGGCTTAAACCTCACATTACTTGATAAAGAAAACTGAAAATGTGACATTTTATAGACTATCAATTAGCTTACAAATGAAAATAATTTTGCCAATTACAGCATCTGCTCAGATTTCTTGAACGCTATCACATCCAGATGTAAATTTGGTCTTGCTTAGAGTTTTGTGGTCACTCACCATTAAAGAATACCTTGAAATAAACAAAGTGTTCATGAGTGTTGAATCGAAAAATGGCAAATTTGTTTCAACCAGTTACCAGCACAGAGATATTTCACCAATTCCAGAAAAATCATCAGGTTTCATATGAAACTGTGCACATATTTTTCTCTTCCTCGCTCAGCGTGCAAAGAAAGTAGTGACCGATAGCCCAGGGCTAGCGGATTTTGCTATCGGGCTAGTGAATTCTGTTTTTAACTTGCCCATTGGGCAAGTGATGTTTTTTGAGGAATTCAAATAACAGAAGAACTGTGAAATCAATTCTGCTAGTCAAAAGGTTTTGGGGCTAGTTGAAATGACGTCTGGGCTAGTAAATGCTGGCTTCTGCTTGCCCGAATGGCAAGCTGTAAATTAAAATGATTTTCTTTGCACCCTGCTCGGTACATGCATTTTATACAAATTATACAGTACCTGGAGTCTGATGCACGTTGTGTGACTGATCATGCTTATTTTCATTACAAGATTAACCATTATATACAGCGTATTGCTATTTATTTAATTTTTATCTCCCTGAACACTGAGTTTTTGTCCATCTATAGGAAGCTTTTGTAGCGACTATAAAAAAGTCTTTTGCTACACTCTGGCAGCAAAATTAAAAGAGGCTAAGAAAAGGAGGCTATCAAACAGCAAAAGGAAGTGAAAGATGCAGCTTCCTTTATCAGGGTCTGGAAGAGGGGGTTTGGATCACGAATCACGGGTTAAATTTCTGTACATTCACGAATCACCTTTTGGAGTGCCGAACTGATCAAGTCCATCAACGATTCTTAGTGGTTTCTGGACTATTATACTAGGCAAGAGTTAGTCTTAAATGACCCTGTGATGGGAAGGAAAAAAAAAGTATGGTGCAAATCAAACTGGTGATCCTCTGCTTTTGTTTGACCACTACAAATTTGACTGCCAATGAATTTTATTGCTATAAAATCGAAGCTCTACAATTCTGGTGTCTAGTGCGAAGCACATAGACACTATGTGAGAGTGTAGAAAATTGATTTAAGTACGTACTTTATGTAATCTCAATTTTTGACGTAAGAGCAATGATAATCCTATAAGCTATACACTACTTTACTACTTGTCCTTGAAAACAGAAAACAGGGCATTCCAACAAGGGCAACAGAGCACCGACCAAACTACCTCTTTCCATTCATGACCACATTTTTCAATGAAATAAATTCGCACTAGACACATGTACTCAATGGGGACCTATTTTTCACTTTCACATGGTTTCGTTTAACTTCGAACCCTTGTCACAACACTTACATCTGTTTTATCGGTAGAAATTCTCGATTCACGGAACTACAATGTGAGACGGTTCACGCGTCACAGTGAATATATAATTCAGAAATCACGACTGTATTTCATGAGTTTTCCCGATTCACACTCTTCACACGTATTACGCGAGCCCAGCCCTGCTTTATCGCGTCGGAGCATGACATCCTTTGCATTACACCCGCGTCAGGTGGAAAGATTAACCTTACTTCTTCACGTGAAATATAAAATAAGCTTTATGGTTTTTGCACAGAGAAACCTAGTCAAGTTCACCGTCTTGCAATATCAAGGCATTAAATTTCCCCTCAAAAGCGGATTTTCGTGATTTTCCGTTCCGTTCCATTCAATTGTGTCCACAAACAATGAAAATTATGACAAAGATATTGGTTAGTCTTACCAGTAAAATGCCACGTTATCTCCCAGACCTTTTTCCACATTTCTGTCCAGCATATTGTAAGAAATGTTGGTAACAGCTCCTTCCATCCATTTAATAGACACGTTTCCCTTTCGTGTGTCAAAATTAAAGTCCATGAATTTCTCTTGGTTTGGCGGGATTTTCCAGTGGAACTCGTTAGCAATGTCTCCCCAGAAACTTGCGGGATCGTCGATCGATTTTTGATACGTTTCCTTATATTGATCCATACTAGACACATATGCCTCTGATTTGAGCTTGTCGGGTGGATAAAACCACCCTACAAGCTCCTTTTCATGCTCATTAACCGAGTCGTTCGCAGATGCCATGTTGTTTGCTTCAGCTGTGCATGTGAAAGGCGCGCGACCTGGGTGGAGGGGACGTAAACTATACTACCTGGGGAAGGGTAAGGACAAGCCCAGTCCATCGCCATGGCAACAAAAGTAAGATAAAATCTGAAAAACTATGAGCTACGTTTGACATTTTTAATTTATCTTAGAAATAATTATTTCTTAGTTATTCTGGCATATAAACTAGGCACAAACCGTGCATTCAATATTTTTAAATACTAAACTGTCCGGTACTTGAGACATCTTCATACAGATAAACAGCAAATATCATTAAAACGCTTTAATTTATTCATCTCGAATTTCGACGAAGTGAAAAAGGCTTAAAGCAGGTTAGGATTAGACAATTTAGACCAACTGACTGGCAGTCCTAGTCCTCTGAGGGGCGGATGAATACAATTATGATGATCATATAATTATGAGGTTTGCCTTTTTTTCTACAAAAAATAGAAAGTATCGTCATGTATTCGAAATAAAAAGTGTTTTTTTTTTTTAAAGAAGAAAGAAAAGGGAAAAAAGATAATTCAGAGGGGGCACTCGGAGTTGAACCAAGGACCTCTCGATCTGCAGTCGAATGCTCTACCACTGAGCTATACCCCCGCTGCTTGGAAGAGCAGGCAAAAGTTAAGTATTTATACCACAAGACTTAGTCTAGTTCCAGTTTCCCAACCTCGTTCCCAGGGTCTCTCATCTAGACCCTGGGAACGAGGTTGCAGTTTTCCGTGTCCTGTGAACTTTCGTCACGTGATCTCTCTTCTCTCTGCAGGAAAGAGTCACGCAATCATCCTATCATGTAAACTGCTGCAGCCTTTTGAAAACATGGAGCCGGTATGTAATGAGATTTCTCTAAAATAGTACATTAAGTAAGCTGAATAAGTAGAGTAAAAACCGTGGTGGCCGTGGATGTTTCAAGAATGTTGTTAATTTTGTCAGCTTAAGCCTCTAGGGAATGGAATATATACAATACGATCCTCCATATTTTGATCCTAATGCGTAAAATAGGAAAGTGGAGTCCATTATTTTTCATTTTAGAGGGCCAAATACCGGCATAAGCTTTCTGAGTGATAGTGATGCCCGAGGCTTTATAATGTTGGGTAGAGAAGTTGTCTGTGTTGTGGAACTCCTAGTTAGTATCCCCATCTCAGATAGAGAAAATTCAAATTTACCGGCGTAGTCATTCGATAAAAATTGATATCGGAAAATCATTCGATAAATCGATAAAAATCGATTAATTGATTTTAAACGATATCGATTTTATCGGTCAATCGATAAAAATTGATACGCACACGCCGACGAAGTGTTAATTTTATCGATTTTATCGGATTCATCTTTCCCTTTCAAGACTGGGTGAAAGAGCAACGAGTGTGCGATTGTGTTACATCAGCAAATAAATAAACAGTGGAATAAGCAACCAGGGATCTATAGCGGATTTCAAATAGAACAAACGCTGAGTATTACTAAAAGTTTGTTGAAAAGATGAACGAACAGGGAAGTTGTTATGAGTGTCTCTGCAAGCTCTTTAATATCTTTTGGTGTTTCCATGTCGAAAATTGGTACGATAATTCAGTTTTGATAAATTCGATATTTATCGATAAAATCGATAACCCTAATTCAAACATCGATAATTATCGATTACTCACACTGAACTCTTTTATCGAATTTTATCGAATTTCGAAAAAATTAATCGATTTTTATCGATTGTTATCGAACGTTATCGATTATCGATATTATCGAATAACTCTGCTGGGAAATTTGCAACCCTCGTTCATAGCTGAATTTGTTTTAAAATCTTGAGAAGGGGTGAATTGGGACGTTAGGCACTCCACTGACACCCCTCTAATCCTGAAAGGCCCTAAGCTTGGGAGGGGGGGGGGGGTACTTCCAGAAAAATTGGGGGGGGGTGTGCGGCAGACTTCCTAAAACACTGTATACGTACTTACCCTATTTCAGACCAAAATCTGTGATTTTCCCTACCCTATTTCAGACATGACCCTTAAATCAATCAGCTTGTGACAAGCTGTTATGGCACGTACATGGTTGGCAAAAACATTAAAAGGGAAATGGTCTTATCACCTAATGATGAAGAAGTAGCTGAAGTCTTCTAAAAAACGTGCCTAATTCAAGACTAGAGTGCACAAACCATTCCCTATTTCAGACCCAAATGACTAAAAAACCATACCCTTTAGTGCCGCACATACCTATATAGCCTATACAAGGGAGTACCTCCCTGGGGCCCGGAGGAGGCACTTTAAGAATGTTTGGGCAGGGGAATCATGATTGCGCCTATACAAGACCTACAGCAGTTCAGCTGAATTTTGCTTCCCTAAACTAGACTAAACTCCCAAAATCTCTCCCTATCCTTGAGTCGCCATTAATATTTGAGAAATTACTGAGGTTGATGCTGAACTGCCTTGCGGGTAAAGTAAATTTTGTCAACTTCATTTTTTGGAGTGTCAATTCCCAGTTTCCTTTGTACATTGCAGCCAATCTTCAAAGAAGGCTTAAACCAGAAAACTGTTAAAGCAGTATAAACATCATGCAAACTGCTGTTTTTTTTCAATCAGCATCCCAAGGTACTGATCATTGGAAGTGGAGTGATTGGCCTTACTACTGCGTATCTGCTACTTGAAAAAGGGTTGGTTTGGTCACTTAACTTGTTCATTGTTATTGTTAATGTCATTGTTAACTAATTATGGGGATTAATTAGCAATCAGTTGGCTTTCTTTATGTTTTGCACCTTTTTTTGCCACAAATTTTCAATGCAAATAAGGACTGCAGGTTTAGTGGTGGGGCACACAGGACCGCTCCCCCACTTTTCTGTGATATTTTATGTCTATTATTTTTAGCTCAGTAGACGTTCTGTGGATAAATTTAAAAGCAATTGTTTGACTGATTGATTGATTGATTTTTAACGAATTCTCAGTAAGATAAATATTACCCAGTATATACATCATCACAGAAATAGGGAACAGCAAAGAAATTAATCAACTGTTATGATGCACAATTTTTTAATTCATAGAGACTGTATTTGTGTTGCTTTCAAACCTATTGATTGTTTTGATGTTGCCCTCCTCAGTTTGCTTATTGTCCATCAGATGGAAGAAAAGAGCATTAAACATTATATATTTTAAGTAAATAATTAATTGGTTGGTTGCAGGAGTGGTGGGGATAACAGCGTCGGACGGAGGATTTTGTGAGAGAGGGGGAATAGAGATATAATATACAATGGCAATATGGGTGCAATAGTGCCCATCAGGAATGTGAACGGTGCATGGTTCTAGGGAGTTTTGGGCGCATGCTCCTGCAGGAAAATTTTTGAGATTTAGTGAAGTTCTCTGAGATGCAATTTTAAAAGTGCAACCTGGACACTTAAATTCAGCAAATGTGTGGATTCCATATTGAACATGCGATGCTGAAATAATTTGATAAAGCACCAAAGGGGGGCCCGGGCCCCCTGGGCCCATTCCTAAATCTGCCCTTGGATAACAGTTCTTTTATTTGACCAACAGCTTTGGTGTGATCATTGTAGCTAAAGAATTTCCATCTATCCGTCACTTGCCCAAGATTGCCTCTGAAGCAGCTGGAGCACTATGGGTTCCTCCGCCGATGATAAACTCACATAGAGTTGCATTAGAACGTCCAGATTTACTAGAAACATATAAGGTCTCCATTTTCATTTATTTTGACTAATAAAATATAGCCTAAGAATAAAACGGCTGACATTTTGCAATGCCACCTCTGGTTTAACCATGAAATGACTACTACCAAGATTCGGTTACTGCGCTTCTGATTGGTCAAATCAAATTTTCAGCCATTCAGAAACACTACCCAGATCTGTGTAGTGTCGCAAGAGTATCGTGCAAGAGTATCGCTCATTTCTCAGACTTCATTTGATAGGTAAACCAAACGTGGCATTGCAAAATGTTGGCTGTTTTCTCAGACTAATTAATATGAGTTTCCAGGAAATATCTATGCTCGCCCCATGGAGGGTCAAGTAGAAATTCTGATTGGTAGCTGATCCTGGGATATAAGCACCCCTCTGAATTCAATTTATTATGAATTTTTCAAGGTAAAATTAAAAACCAGCAAATGCCGAAGGCATTCATTTTATCAGCATTAGCACATATATAGCTTGTCTCAAAGTGCCTCTGGTTATGAGCCCTCTCGAATATGACTTTATAAGCTGTCCTAAAACCCATTACAAAGATGTACTGTAAACCTTTATTAAGCCTCCCCTCTCGAATAAGGCCCCATCTCTTTTAAGCTCCCCCCCCTTCACCCCTCCTCTTCCCTAATTATTCTTCTCTAATAAGTGATAGACTGTATTAATCAATCACAACTATAAAACTTTGTGCAGTGGACTAGTGATCTGTGATGGTTTATTCACCAACTGGAAGTTCTGATTCTTTTTTTATCCTGGGCTGCACAACCTCCAGCTTCTTGTACTTGAAGCTTTTCCACTTAATTTGTATTCTAGTTCTTTAATAATGAATACCATCGTCATCGTAATGATACCATTGTCTGTAATAAATTAAATAAGCCACCCTCTAAAATAAAAAAATAAGCTCCCCATCTCTATTAAGCCCTCCCTCAAATGGGTTTGAAATAAATAAGCCCCCAGGGGGCTTAATAGAGCATTTTTGGAACAAGCCTAGGGCTTATAAGCAGCAGTTTACGACCTGACCATTAGTTAAGCAAAATTTCACTTGTACCTGAGATTTCACTTATATGATTCAGATCTCTTGACTACTAAAAAAGGTTTAAAATCAAGTAGGAGACACCATGCAAATCACTGGTAAAAGTTAGATTGTGGAAGAGGGGAGGGGGTGATTGAATATATCAAGCTGGCTTTAATTTATTTTATGCTCAATCTACAGAGATGGTCAGCTTATGGTGAAGAAAGGTATACACCACTTACTACAGATGCTGAAGTCACTGGTGTTTACCTGAGGGAAGTTGTGGCTGTTCTTCCAGATGATGTATGTCATGGTTATTCAATTACTTATTAATTTATTTTTACATATTTAATATTTATTTATCTAGTCTGATTATTACTTTTTCATGCATTAATGCCCTATTGTTGCCTTTAAGTTTTTCTCAAACATATGAAAAATTAATTCTTACCTGAATCACTATTTTTTGTATAGTACTGTATTAATCTAACAGAATTAACGCCCAGGGGGGATATACTGTGGATATCAAGGTTAATAGTGACAGTGATGATTGAATGGGGGCAAAAAATTAAAACCCCCCAAAAATCCTTGGGCTTTCAATGAAACCCCCAAAAATTCCTGGACACAAAAATTAACCCCAAAAACATCCCATGCTGAATTTCCGAGCCTTAAAAATTTTCAGAAAGCATCAAATGATATAACACTGACAAAAAACAATGAAAACTATTTGGCCAGGATACATGGGCACTACCACAAATCTTCGGATTGTTTTGAATACCCCAAAAAATCCCTACTTAATTATAAAGCTGCCCAAAAATTTCCTACCCAAAAAAATCCAGGAATTGAAAATTTCACGCCAGGCCCCCCAAAATCATTTGATCATCCCTGTCACTTGAAATCTGGAGTACACCCCTCCCCCCGGGAATTAACGGACGTCACTCTTTTGACTTTGTTTGTATTGTCTTGGGGCCGGCCGTAGTGCTTATATTTGGGTGCAACACTTTTTTTCCCTCCAAAATATGCTGCTTATTTGAGGGTGCTGCTTATTAATTCAGCAGTGATGCTTGGTACCTTTTCAATCAGGAATTGAGGAATAATTAGTTGCAGTTGACTTATTCTTTTGTTTTTTTTTGTTTTTGTTTTTGTTAGGTAGACCAAGCTACTTTAAAAGAGTACAAACAGCTAAGAGGATTTAGGCATTCCCCTTTGCTTCTAAAGGAAAAAGGTTATTATGACTATACTGCTGATTAACTAAGTGTCATCAGTTTTCTAGCACAGTCATACCAAACTTTTTGGTCAAAATTATGTTTTTCTTGTGAAACAAAGTTCACCAGAATTTGACAAGGCGTTTTGAAGGTCTAAGAATCACTTAGTACAGTCTTCTCTGCCCCTCATTTAATTTTGTGTCTTTCTAAACTCCCTAACCACAGAGCAGTCAAGTGCTAGTTATTTTAATATCAGTTTTAGGGGTTAATTGTTATTTACAAAAATGTGATCTGCATTGTCAGGCAGTGTTTCAAAATTAAATTGTTGATACAATAATAATTAATAATTAATGCCAAAATTTGTTGCCACTTATTAATTATTAAGTATGGTGATCCAATTCTTGACCAGGCTTAAGTGATTCCGTCATTGGAAGGAAAGAAGATGTCTTTTCATTTTATGGTCCAGTTATTGATTCACCCAAATTTGGGACATGGCTAATGCAACAAGTATGTAGTGTTGACTATTGCAATGACCAAATCATATTATGCCCTGTGTGTGTTTTTTTCTTCCTGAGTCAAAATGAAATTCACTAGGTTAAAATTATTTCTGCCTAGTTTGATTTTCAAATGATATCTCTTAGGCCCAATTATTTTTGATCGTGAGGAGAAGTCCTTTGACTTTAATTTCTCCAGACAGAACTATTTCTGAATTTCTCGTTCAGCGGTCATAATAAATGCTGCATAGGAAAATATGGTTTTTATGACAGTTTTCTCAAAAAAAAAAGAAAGCAACCCATACCTGTAACATTAAATGCGTCAGAATTTATTGTTTCCACTAACAGTGTAGCCTGCATAGCATGGTGGTTCCCAATCTCCTCACACTTTCACTGCCCTCTACTCACCCACCTTGGCTTGTTTGCGCGCCCAACCAAAACCGCCATTCTGCGCAGGCTGCTAACAGTGACTCATAAGTGCTGCCACAGAGTGCAGAGGATTTTTTACGTGTGACCTTGAATTCAGTTAAATTTTGTAGTTATATTTTACAGTGCAAATTGCTCTTGTCTAATGAAGAATCAAATATGAACTTGACAGATCAACGCGTCATGCGATTGTGTTACAAATCTGGCAAAGGTTAATTACCCATGCTCAGGAATAACACTACAAGCAATGACTGCAGATGAATAACCAACAGCAACCAACAGACTATAAAGCGACTTCTTTAATAAATTGTGTACTTTCCGCCGTCTCGGCACTTCATGCCTTGTTTGGAAAGCTTTGTTTTCTGGATGCGTCAGACCCCTTAGGTGACTGCTTCTTAATGAAATGAAATGTTACCTTGCTGAATAAAAACGGAAATTTCGCGGGGAATGCATGCTAGTGCCTGTTTAAGCCTTGATGGGGCTTTGTTATATTTTAGCCATGACCCAACTGAATGAAGTTGGCTTATCGAAAAGAAAAAATGCGGCATCTAATTTGTTACAGGAGGGACCCAACTAAAGCAGGGTAGTATTTAAATAAAGAGTTATAATTAATTCCCCAATGGAAAAACGATTCGTTTAATCTTGATCGTAATAAAATACTTTTTGTAGAATCTCCCGATTTTTTTTTTCATGAGTCTCCAGATTTTCCTCTATCAGGGGTTGGCAGGTCTGTATTTTACCAGATTTGTAGCACAATCACATGACATGATCAGGATGATACTTCAAGCGGACAAGTTCAAATTCGATTCTTCTGTAAACGAAGGTGATTCAGGCTGTGAATTGTAAAATTCAACTGGAATCACACGTAACTCCCAAACATCCTGTGTGCTTAAAAAGTTAGTGTACGCTTGTGACAAAAAATACCCTTATGTATGATCTGGAAAATCTGTTTTTATCTCGCGGCAGTGCATGAGAAAAGGAGCTCATCTCATCTTAGGAGCAATCAGAGGACTGTTAATAGAACAGGCAGAGATTCTAAAGATGACATATGGGGTCCAGTTTATTGTCAATTGCTCAGGACTGGGTTCTGTTGAATTGGCAGGAGATAATGAGATGTTTCCTGTTAGAGGTACGCACTAACGGTGTAACCGCCGACTGTATTTTATATGGTTGTAACCTCAATAGAGTTTGCGCTCTCGGTTTTAAACGTCATTGTTCTTGTTCCATCTCATTCAAATTGTAATTAAAATGGTAGCAATTTCCAGATCATAATCAATTCGCGTTTTCTAAAAATTTTTGGCAATTGTTCCAACTTGCCTAAACTGCCGAATTATTTGGGTGAACTTTCCTGGAGTGGGGACCTCACTCAAATTTGAAAATAATGACAGAGAAAAATTAGTCGTAGTGTGTGTTCGTCCTCCATAAAACGTATCATGTGGTAGGCATTAAGAAAAAGCTCCCGATGTCGTCGCCGTAGTCGTCGTCGTCGTCGCAAAACTCCTTCTTAAAGTAAGCTCCCAGACCCTCGTTTTAAAATAGCACAGGTACGTTTGGGAAAAATATGGCAAGACAAATTGAGGATTTTCTTTATGTACAGGTCCGTTACCGGACAGGTTTCAGTGTGGTGCAATTCCCAATGCGTTCTGTGGTCAATATTTTTTCCCATCCACTTTTAGATTCAGTGTCGGATACTAGACGATCGTATTGTTCTTAATGCGTATGAGATTTGATTTTTGCATTTCCCTTTTCCAGGTGCACTTTTGAAAGCAAAAAATGATGGTACCCTTTTTCCTAAGATTGACTTTTGTGCCGAGGGAAGGTGGACTAGTTTTGGAGAGGATGAGGCTGGCCAGCAAGTTCTTGGCCATCCTTACATTTTCACGAGAGGTATCTAACAATTAAGAGAATCTGCATTAATGCATAATAAAATTGTTATACTGTTCCTAGGTGCACTCTTAAGAGCCATAAAAAACGGTGGCACTTATTTCTCAAAGGTTGACTGTTGTGTTGACTAGCTTTGGACAAGATAAGGCTGGCCTAGAAATATTTGATCATGTGTATATTTTCCTAAGGTACGCTCGAACTCAGAAATGCAAATAAAATTTCTCTCTTGAAAGGACATATTTCCGGCATCTGTTGACGCTGCCCAATTACTCTTAGTCACGATGACAAGTGAAAAAGAGACCCACACGATTAATACTTGTCTAACTGTATCCAACTACAATAAAAAAAACAACAGAAAATGTTCCTAAAAAGTGTTATAGGTCCTTATGTGACGTTGGCAATTCTGAACGGTCATCATTTCCAAGACTGAGCGCACACCTGAGACTGTCGGTGCCCTAATGGTCAGATCACTCTATGCCGTTTGCAAGAAACGTGATGTTTAATCTCTGTGTTAGACAATCACAGAACGACTACAGAATTCAATCGTCTCGTTTAAAGTAGCTAATTAGCTAAAGAACATTGACCACGTTAAATAAAGGTTATTGTGTTGTATTGTATTGTTATCGCTTGTCTCTCGATAGTCACTGCTTTGTTGTTGTTTTGCAATCAATAACAAAGTGACTAGATGGTTTGACATGCAGGTCTTTACGGCCGAACAAGCACACGCGCTCCCTATGGAAATATCAGTCAGGTGAAATATCACCTGACTTCAGTGTCTCTTAGGGCTTTTATTTTTTTAATAATACTATTATTATTACTGATTATTATTATTAGTATTAATATTATCATCATCATCAACAACATGATTATGATTACGATTAGTATTATTGTTGGTGAGTTTACGCAAGAGGACGGCAGGAAGAAGAGGGCGACAAAACGCTCGTGTGTGACAAACGTGACAGGGCTATTACTCAGTGATTACTTGCGTGGTTTTTCGTGACCTTCACTTAACATTTTCCTGAAGATCTGTTTAATTGAAAGTGAAGTTTAGCAAAGAGTTACTTCGAACAAAGTTATCGTCACGTTTTTCACACAAGGTTTGCCTTCTTGTTTCCTCTCCCGTCCTCTTGCGTAAGTTCATCATTATCGTCAGAAACGCCCATCACTGAAGACGTTTTTATTCGCCGTTTGAACAAATACGTTACTATTGTATATTTGACCTGACTATCAACAGGTCAAGACCATATTATGCTTGGATCTTTGACACAGCCAAACAGTTCTGACCACAATGTGCCTTTTTCTGCTCCTTACGTTCAATCCATGCTGAAGAAGTGTAAGGACCTCTGTCCTCGCCTCCATGCACTAAAGGATAGTGACTTACAAGTTACTGTAGGAATACGTCCAGGAAGAGAGCAAATCAGAGTTGAACAGGACCCTGACGATCCAAGTGTTTTCCACAACTATGGGCATTACCGATGGGGTATGACGTTAAATTGGGGCAGTGCAGCTGACATCGTTAATCTTATTGACAAGGAATTAAAGACAAATTTTAGGCAAAGCCAACTGACAACAAACAAACACTTGCATTTGGCCAAGCTTTAAAGCTTTTTGTTCTAATAGATTGTATAGCATGATTTGTAAGCGTTTAGACTAAGAAATAACGCTATATAAATCGGTATAGCTTCTCCTTATAGTATTATTACATATCGATTAATAGCACGGATGAGAGGAAGACTTTTTTTAACCTAAACCGTGCCCTTGTATTCTAGCATTCTCTAGCAGGTGTCTAGTAATTACAGGCTTTGTCTGTTTTATGTCGGGTTTGGCTAGAAAGTGAGAAAACCAGCTTATATTCGGGGGCACCCAACGAGAGGATAGTTCAAAACCACTTAAACATAGCTTGTTAAACGTATTTTAGTATTTAAACGGTAGATATAGGCATATTTTTATCCCCGAAAAATTTTTCATCTGTTCGGATTTCCTAGCTGAAAGTCTAGTGATCCGAAAATTATAGGGATCAAAACTTACCTTTTGGAAAGTTTTAGCCTGAAAAAAGACTCCCGAAAATTTTAGGTGACCTTTTTAGAGTAAAAAGCCGTTAAAAATGGGCAATTATACCATTTTTTAGACGTTCGAAAATCCTAGGAGAGGTAAATAAGCAAGAATTATACAAAAAAATGTTCCGAAAATTCTAGATCTCAAATCGTCTCCCGAACAGACTTTTTTCGAAAATTGACGTTGGTTGCCCCTGTATATTTGGAGGGGCGATTTAACGGAGGGTTTTTTGCGTTACGAGTTCGGGGGGCTTATATTAGGAGGGGCTTATTTTTGGAATTTTACGGTATACACGTTTCGGCAATTCAAGAGTTTGGTTGCTTTTTGTTTCCTTCTTCTTGTTAAAAGTAAATTGGAGCGGAGGGGAGAATACTTTTGCTAATTCTTTACTACGCATAACATCTAGATGTTTCATCGCCAGTTAAACATTCTAAATATAGTCAGTGCACCCTAGTTTTCGTACGGAAAAGGCATTATATTTTTTGATATTTTGCCGCAGGTGTGCCAAGAATTTGCGGTTGCAACTCTTTCCTCCGTAGAGGCCCGCCGCGCGCTCGCTATTTTATTATTGGAATACCTGGCGCGGAGCCTCTGCAGAAGATAGAGTGGTTGCAAAGGTAAACAAACTTTATCATAAAAAACTGTTTAACCAATTTTTGCTGCCATTTGTTTTTGTTTACTGATAAAACTTCAGTTTCTCTCACAAACAAGCAGGCCAATCAGCGCGCTGGAAAAGCACTATTCACTCTTGTAATTAGGCTAAATAGAGCTATTGAATAGCGTAGCGCGCGAATGATGTCAGAGTAATTACTTTGCAATTTTTGTCTGAGTTTTGTCATTTTTCTCATTTTAATGACAAAAGACAGACAAACATTACATTTTAATGACAAAAGTTACCCAAAAGTGAGGAATTCGCTTATGTTAATTTCAGTTTAAAACTGTGAAAGGTTTGAACCCAGGAGTCATTTCAATAGGTTGAGTTTGATCGTCCGGGTGAACGTAGTCCTGAATAGGACTGTTGTTGTTGACAGTGACTGACGTTTCGACAACCTGTGCGGTAGTCATCTTCAGCGTCAAAGTGAGTTGTGTCACGTCAGTTGATGGTATTATACTCTGGTTATTGATCTGATTGGTCAATTATGTCGCGATGTTATTGGTCGTCTGTCGGACTTTGTTAGACGGAACACTCACAGTAACACTGATTCCAACTCTCAGACCAACTCTGGCCCTGTTACGACAGCGACTATACCGTACATCAGAGGCACCTCTGAAACTATTGCACGTATATTACAACCTTACAATATACGTGCTGCGCACAAACCGATAACCACTTTACGGCGACTGCTTACTAATGTCAAGGACAAAGACAAACTGGAGGACAGACAGGGAGCAGTATACAAGATCAAATGCTGCGACTGCCAGGCTTCTTACATTGGTGAAATCGGCAGAAACCTAAGCACGCGACTGACCGAACACAAACGCGCGACGAGGAATAGTGACGTCAACAATCACATTGCTGAGACGAAACATCAAATTGACTGGGACTCTGCCACATTTATAATTTATTCTACAGACTGCTATCAACGTCTTACTTTAGGAAGCTGGTTTTACTAACTTAGAACAAACGCCACTGAATCGTAGCCAACAGTTACCAGCGCCGTACAAACGACTTATTGACGAGATCAAGCAAAACTAACTACGAGGGAACAACTGGAGAACTGACAATTTGACTAACAATAGACGACTGTTTAACTGTGACAACAGACGGATCGAAACGCACCAATTACTGATTACGAGTCTTCATAGCCAATAACATCACGGCTTAACTGACAGACGACCAATAACATCGCGACATAATTGACCAATCAGATCAATAACCAGAGTATAATACCATCAACTGACGTTGAAGATGACTACCGCACAGGTTGTCGAAACGTCAGTCACTGTCAACAACGACAGTCCTATTCAGGACTACGTTCACCCGGACGATCAAACTCAACCTATTGTAATTTCAGTTTGTTTGTCTGAGTTTCTGGTTTATAAATAGTAACTGCGCGCAATGCTATTGATATATTACTGTGAGTAAAAATATTTTCATTTTTATTCTAATCAAGTGAACTTGTTTTGGCGGGCAAAGCAAGCAAAGCGAAGGAGAGGTAATTTTAAAATACGTGAGTAATGCAAGCCTAGATCACGTATGAAGGACGTACAAGTAATGTCGTTTGTCAGTAAAACGCGGGTTGGGGTCTGTGTTTTTTAAAAAGAATGTTGTTTTAGGGTTATTTAACCATAAAACTAACCCTACAACAGCATTCTCAAAAAAAAAAAAAGAAAAGAAAAAAGAAAGAAAGAAAAAAGAAACCCCGGCCGCGAGCCCGGCCTCGATCCCGCGTTTTACTAACAACCCCTTCTGTGGTTCAAATATGGGAAGGAAATGACATTGGACCCGCTTGGATTTGTTAAGCTTTTTGCCATCTAAAAAGAAGAGGTATTAGCCTAGTTGACGAAACAATTCAATTTCCCAACTTCCTCTTTTGAACTATACATCAGCAGCATTTTCACTTGTCCTTTTAAAAAAACGTCATTAAAGTTGGCTGCAGGGCAAAGGACTCCGTGACCTTTCTCGATTTGTCTCCGGAACTGAAGACATTATCTTCTTCCTTCAAATCCATATTTTCAGCGGCTTTAACGGATAACAGTATTACCTTTTAAAATGAACTGCCAACAACGCAAACGTTAATTTTTTATTTTTTGTTCAATTTTTATTTATTTCCTTATTTTGATCGCTCACAATGTCTTTGAATCTGGTCTGTAAGTTTAGGTACGTGCGATCCGTATCGAACACTCACAGAAAAAAGATACCAGACTAGAATAAGAAAAAAGCAGTCAATTACAATAGGACGATTTATGCTTCTTGCTTTTAACCGTGGATATTCTACAGTTCCCAGTGCCAGCAGTTATATATTGCGAGATATCCATGCTCGAATGAACTTTTCTAAACGGGGACACGTGCTATGCATTTCCTGTACAATTACGCACATTAGTACCGCATTCCTCAGCTGAAACACGTAGCTACTTTGTATTTATTTTTTGACAATGTGTGTATAAGAGTAGCACGTATATGAATGAGCAAGCATTTTTGAAGTAAACGAACAGAGTGAGGCATCGCGCTCTGTTCAGGTGTCTTTGAAAAATTGTTTTGTCCGCGTGGAACAGAGTGCGGCTGTATAAAAATTTTAAGACATGGCCTTGAACATTTCTACAGTCCCTACCTACTCAAAAACCCTGACAGTGAGTATTTTCTTGACATAGCGTTATATTCAGTGATTTTTATAACCCTTATTATAAGTTTACACGATTCTTTTATCCCTTCTTTTAGTTAGAAACATGTAGTATATATTGGTACTTACTAGTAGCTTTCTAGTGAATGGCAGGAACCTGTCGTAAATGGTTATTTGATATCAAAGAATATTAACCTTTTCCCGAAATATTGCGCCACACCTACGCGGAGTTTCCAAAATCTTTGAAGTCCACTAAATAGTGACCAATACTTGTTTTAAGAATTACTTCTATTTCGCTTTGAAGAGAACAAGATTAACGCTTTTCTTTTGAAACTAACGGCAGTTTTTTTTAGATCGGTATCAAGAGAAACGCTGACAAGCTTTTAAAATGGGGTCAAAAAATAGTTGCGTTTAGTACCACAAGCATAAGTAAGTTCAGTGTAAGATTTAGTCCGTTCTACTCGGCATCAACGACATAAGAATAACAAATGCATTCATGGAGCTTATCTGGCTTGAATTCCTCCAACTCAACTGAGTACTTACAATGATTGTCTTCTGTGTAACTTTCAGATCTGTCCTGTGGTTAATCAGCTCCATGAAGTGAACCGCGTCAAGTTTTAATTCAGAAATTAAAATCACAAGGATTCAATTAAAGGGGAGGAGGGAATTTTCTCACGGCTAATGCTTGTTCATTACAATTTTCCTCCATCTATACAAATATTGATAGCAGTACTTGTTTTATACAGCGTCGCAGATCTCCTCGCGTCCTTGTTGTCGGTGCCGGAGTAATTGGTCTGACATGCGCACTTCAACTCCTGGAACGAGGGTAAGTTATGGTTATTTGAACCCAGTTTAATTTCCTGCCAAAGATGATAAATAATTTTAATCGTTGAGAAATTAAGGCCTAAAAGTGCCTTACGGTGGTAACGTGCGAAAACAAAATGTTTCCTTGTTCCAAAAAAAGACGGTGACTGTCATATCCATGATTAACCGGAAACTTTAAGTTAAATGTTTTTCCTGGCTAAAATTCTGCGAAATCACTTCAGTCATCGTGACGCAAGAGAATATCGCGGAAGACAAAGTGGAAAACATGACGCGTTCGTAATATAACAACTTCATGATCGGACTTTGCCTACTTGTCTGGCGACAAGGAGGAAACAATATTTGTCTTATGGACCAGTGTGTTAAAAACCGTTCAGGGGGAGAGTAATTAACAGAGTCACGTGACTCAAGACTGACAAACAGTGTTTGAGAGGAGTTCCAAAAATATTAAACTGTTGGTAGTGCTTTGGAAGAGGATGGGAGCAAGATCGAGTTACATGAGAAGTGAAATTACAATTTGCACGCAACTGTATACAGTAAAATTCCTATTACGCGAGCCAGCGGTTTTTTTAACTCCCGATTATTCAAACCAAAATTAACCTTCTTTTCAAAGTCAAATTTCTAGCAACTCGCCCAAAATTTCTTTATCCCTTAACGCAAAATAAAAAATACGACAGGAGTTGTCGATCCCAGCCAACATCTATTTACATTTCTTCCAAAGAGATATTTGTAATTGCCTCGAAAGTGAAGGATATGCATGTAACAAGCATGGTTTAAAGAATGTTAAATAGTTCTAACAGGAGCCCTTTATGAATGAAACAGCTGGTCCTTGGTCGCTGACCTTACGCTGCCTGAATCATTCGGGCAGCGTGAAAGATATGCCTTTGTGCATGCGTAGAGATCTGCTACTTGCCGGTAGTGTAACTAGTGACTAGAATGGGTACCTAAAAGTTCAGTTCCTTGATACGGTGGTGCGGGTTCAATTCTTACATACTCTGTTTTCTTCCATTTTCTTCTTTTTTTAATTTTAACTGAAAGACAAGAACCTGATTTGGGGGTATCCATTCAAGTCCCAACCGCAACTGTCTTTTCAAAAATGCTTGACTTGTTTTTAGTAAGGAATGGTGTTGTTTATGTCTTTCTTGGTATTCTCCCCTCAGTTACAGAGTGACTGTTGTAGCAAAAGAGTTTGCCTCATCAGTCTCCGGTGAACTTATTACCTCTGAGATCGCTGGGGCGTTGTGGGAGTGGCCACCCGCCGTCTGTGGGGGTCACACAGACGAGGAATCGTTGGATCGGGCCAAAGTTTGGTGCACAGAGAGTTACACCAAGTTCGTAGAAATGGCCATGAAATCAGAAGAAACGGGGGTGTTTGTTCAACAGTCAGTTTTTTACTTTAAAAACAAAGTTGAAGATGTTCCCGAGCAGATGGAAAAGATGAATGAACTTCGTTACTTGCCAGGATTTCAACACAACTGCAGACTTATTGAAGAGACATGTGAGTATGTTCTAAAACTTCTGGAGCATATTATACTGATCTAAATCTGCTCTAGTAACAGTGCGCAGTGAGCCAAGAGAATTAAATAGATTATCACGTGACCGCTCGTCCATATATACCTTCCACCGCAGATATAAGTCAGTTAGGGATGTGATATTGCACACGTTTCTAGACAAGCGGCAGTGTTTCATTGAGATAAATCTGTCCTTTTAAGTTATACTTGCATCATGAATTGGCCATCTGCATGTCATTATCAAATGGCTGTATAACGCGCGAATTCAGATCCATGTAGCTCGCGCCACAGTTTTGAGCCTATTGTTTCATTGAAAGATAGCCACATGTTGATATAGCTCGTTTTATGCTTGTCTCGCCCGCCACAGTTGCTTTTATATAGAGCTGATATAGATCATAACTTTTCTTTTTTTTTCTTTTCTTTTCTCTGAATTAACGGAACCTTCGTTTTATAATCAGTGATATCAAGTAATGTCACTAGCACATATTTTATAACAAATCGTGGGTTTATATCATATGGCAGGCAAACATTTTAATCGAATCGAGAAAATGATTTACCGAACTGGGAGTTAACTCACGCAGTACTCCGAAGTTTCTACCTGGTTTTATCATTTAGTTGAAACTGATTGGAGCCAGGAAATTTTTAGTGGCTGCACCTAAGTGACAGTTTTGTTTTCTCTTTTCAGCTGTAAGCCTGGACACAGGAGTGGTTGATGCCTACCAACACATGGCGCCCATGGTTGATACAGTCACATTCTTGCAGTGGCTTTATAACCAGTGCCAAGATAAGGGCTGTCGTTTTGTACAAGATGAGATTCATGGGCTGTTATCTGATCAGGCCGAATACTTGAAGGACAAATACAAAGCCAGGCTCATTATTAACTGCTCTGGACTCAGTTCTATAGAACTAGCTGGAGATAATGAGGTCTACCCTTCAAGAGGTTAGAAAAGAAAATGTTACGTTAAAGTCATCTATGATCAGAAAAGTTTTGTGTTTTCTCGGGGTAGGATTAAGAAATGTGTCATTTATGAGTATAGTAATGATACAAAAACACATTAAATTCACGCAACAAGAACGGTGTCTTCATTATGTTCGTTGGAATCGTCAAACCTGGCTAAAACTGAGTCACTGTTTGACCGTCTGACCACCTCAAGGGAATGCTGCTTATATGGGTTCACTCAATGATCACACTACTTAATCGGGTTGAAACTGCTGTTTTAACCCCTCCCACTCGTGTACCGGGATGATAAAAAATGAGATCAACGTAAGAACGACCTTAGTTAGTGTTCCTGTATTAACAGTATCAGTTTCCCTGACTAGCGATCTTTCTCATTCTTAGGTGCGATCCTTAAAGTCCGCAACGATGGGAGTTTGATGCCAAAGTTAACGCATTCCATGAGCCTCTCTGTTGTTGACAAAATTCAGGATGTTGCACAGGAAGACCAAGATTTCATCTACATCTTACCTAGAAACGACGATAAACTTTGGCTTGGTGGCCTTGTGCAACCCAATCAGTGGGATAAAGATCTTACTATGGATTCTCCATCAGTCAGAAGAATGTTTGACAATGTCAAAGAGTTCTACCCTCCGCTGGGTAACTATGGAGATGATGACGTTGAAGAAGTGCTGATAGGACTCCGACCTGCTCGTAAAGGTGGCAATATTCGTTTAGAATGGGATGCTGTCTCACCTTCTGTTCTACATAACTATGGACACGGGGGTGCAGGGGTGACTCTCTCCTGGGGGTGTGCTAACGAAGTGTGCGCCATGGTGGACCACGCCTTAAAAAGGCATAAATTAATTTATATCTCAAAGCTGTAAATTACAGAGAGGATTTATTTAATTTAAAGAAAATATACGGACCAAAAAATAATGAATATTGCTATGTATATAAACGATATTTTGTCCTGCAGGTCGGTTGTATATAATTTTAGCCTTTACAAAAAAGCTTTATTTATTCTTAAAAAAACTTTGGACAATATTCTGGTACACTCTTCTTTCTTTTTACGGATTGAGTCTGGGCCATTCTTGTTATCTGGGAAGTTTCAGCTTGGAAATTAAATGTTCTTACGGATGTTCTTCAATAACGGAAAACTGATAACTTTTACAGTTTTGACAAGATAAGACCCCGGGGAGGGGGGTCACTATGATGACCTATACGGGAAGGTTCCGCACGAAAGGGGGGTATCTTTTTTAGGCTTCAAGTATATGAAAGGGTAAGGATTTCACTAGTTGAAGTACATAAAAGGGTAGGGAGATCTGTCATTTGGGTATGTGAAAGGACCCAAAAGGGCTAACAGATGAATGAATAACAACAACAACAACAACATAAGCTTTATTTGCATGACTATAATTATGTAGTTACAGTATTGCAAAAGCTTTAATATAAAAACAAACAAACAAACAAACAAATCATAACAATGATAATGCAATGATGACTGTAGTCAATCAAGTGTCATCAGCATGACTTGATAACAAATTATTACGTAAATTATTACATAATGAGACAAATTTCAACAAATGTGAATTTACGGAAAAATTCTGTGAATTCATCAATTTAATTATTAATTCTGTGTAAGATAGCTGATCAAAATCGACAAAATTTTGTTGGATTTGATCGTAGAATTTCTCCCTTGGGATTGAGTATTTTGGACAGTGGAAGAGAAAATGAAATTCGTCTTCAATTATGAATGAAGTCGAGAAAACGTTCCACCGGTACTTTTGTGATTGATTCCTATTTAAAAGACAGTGCATTTACAGCAGTTGAAAGGGATGCACGTTCTAAACAAGGTATATGAAAGGGGTGCCATTTGTCAATAGAAGGTATATGGAAGGGGTACCTTTTTCTTGAACAATGATGGTATATAAAAGGGTAGGGGGTTTGACCTCGGGGCGAAGCCTCCCCGTATGAACATTTATAGAGTGCCCCAGACTACCCTCCCGGGGATAAGACAGTACAATGATTATAGTTTTAACATTAATAAATTGTACAAGTGCAATGTAAATGTATTATTGACCATACACAATAGGAATGTGTTGAAAGAGCAAAATTTTACATACACTCTGGTTCCATGTAGGACATCATTGAATTCAGGTTTTCTAGATTTAGGAAAGTAAAAGCAGTGAAAAATAAATTGTTCCTCTCTCAGCCTGGGGGAATGTTCTTGGCATTTTCTAAATATTTTGACAAATTCCAGGCTGGACGCTCTATATAATAAAGGTTCATATTGACCATGCTATAACTAATTACCATAAAGCCACACTTCCCTGGTCCTTAATTCTGCAAGGTTTTGGAAAGAATTAAAAACTAGTTCTTTGCGTTTATTTAAGCGAGCAATGATGAAAAAAAAATACTTATCCACTTAGTACGTTTCAAGCTACCTTATTTAGAGCATTATTGGTTATCCTTAGCTCATGAGCCAGCATAACACAATATTTGATAAATACTTAAACATGTTATTCATATTCTGGTGACGTTTTTAAATTTTTTTTTAAATTTTTGTTCTGACCTCTTCTATTGTTAATTCATTTCCTTGATTGACTAGATTTACACTTATTTATTTCCTTATTTACCATCTTATATTATCTCTCAGTTTTGTTCTTTTGTTTTCCTCCTTATTGTAATTCGTGTTTTACAACCCCGAAAGAATTAATAGACTGAATAAGGGGAAACGGGGAACGAGAAAGCGGATCGGGAAAATGAATTTAAATGGGAACAAACTAACTTGAACCCTTGTCCTATTAATAACTTCATCTCCAATTCTCTGCTTTGTATTCATCTTTCATTTTCCCGTTCCCCGTGCTTGTTCTTGAACTACTTGCAATTAAGACATCACGTCTTTACTACATTCGACGCACGTATAAGAAATGTAAAATGTAAAAATAAAAATGTTCTATCACTCATTTATTTCGAGGATTTTAAAACTTCTAAAACATTTTTATTTTTACATTCTACATTTCTTATACGTGCGTCGAATGTGGTAAAGACGTGCTGTCTATTAAATTTTGCAAGTAGTTCAAATTTAATATTGGAACACATTCCTAGTCTCGGCACTACAATTTCTCAAAAACGTGCTTGTTCTCCACTCACGGTAAACCGTTGTGGGCACAACGGTTAATTCACTTTATCCTTGTAAACTTTTTGACTTGTCAAATAAATAGCTGGTTGTCTTCAGCTTAGTCTTAATGCCGTGATCACAGTCAAATCTTTCTGTTTTTAAAACTAAGACGGACAAAGAACACCACTGAGCTGACTGAGAAGGATGTGATAGAACAAACATATATGTAGCTGGTTTTCCTCGTCAAAACTACCGTTCTTCTCTATATCAGCACAACTTCACAGTTTGCCGAGTGTCGACTTTTTTTCACTGTACATGTTCTCTTAATGTATGATTTCGGCTCACAAAATGCAGGCTGACTAGGTTTCGAAGACCACATCTTCCCATGATTTCGTCAGTTGTGTGTCTCTGTGTTTTCATGTGCATGTGGAAAGATGGCCACGCTTGGTTATATGGCGGATGGACAGCCGCAAGAATGGGGATCGGAAAAGAATTTACAAACCCAAAGTTCGTAACTGTCTATCAAGATTTTGGTATTTTGCTGAATTGGTATAAATTGCCTCTTTGCTCTTGCATGTCCAATCGTCACCTCCCTCTCTTTTTGGTTCGTCATCTCCATGCACTTGAAGAATTAACGATTGATTATCATGCGTTTTTATGACTGGCATGCAGAAAATCTTGAAAATCTTACGAGTTAACATTCTTTCCCAAGGAAGGACGTGACTTCTCACATATTTTATAAAAGGATTACATTGTGATTTCAAAAAGTTGTGTAATTGGATAATTTTCAGTGTCTTTATCTTTTAATCATTTTATTGCCTTTTCACTGCCATGTAATCGGATGAGCAAAACATTTTTATCTTATTTAAGTTGTACAAGGAAACAAAACAGAGTCGGACAATCACGATAAAAAAATAAAACAGGACTTATTTGGCTGTTAGTCAAATTTTATATAGTGGTCGATACGATCACAAGAAATTAACTTATTATAATTATTATAATTATGATTTTGTTATTATTAGTAATGGTAACAGGACTGAGTGGAGTCCAATTCGGTCTGTAATCATACGAGTGATTAACAAAATCGGACGACCGCGTAGCGGGAGTCCGATTTGTTTAATCACGAGTATGATTACAGACCGAATTGGACGACACGAAGTTCTGTTACCAATTAATCATAACTTTAACAAAATTTGTGATACAATAGGCTATTTTGTAAACCAAAACACAAGAAATTCGAAATTTTGTTTTGCTAGCAGTGAAAAAAAAAAGCCATTTAAGCGCGCGCGTGATGGCGCGTACTGTCCAATTACTTACGCATGACGCGTACTGTCCTATCAAACTGTCCAATTAAGGCTGAAATCAGGGCAGTTGAGAGCCAATCAGATTTGACAATTTTGTTATAGTTATGATTAGCTCGAAAATCATGACTAGCGAAGGAAAAGAAACTGGAGAAAAGGAAAGAGCGAGGACGCGAGAAAGAAGGAGAAGAGAGAAACTAGAAAAAAAAACAATGGTTGCACTCTTTGTAAGCTTGAAAGTGCTTTACAGAAGAGCAGATCCTATGAACGTACATGTCGGGAGTAACAAGTCCGGCGATTGGTACTATATGGTACAAAATTCACTGGGTACAGCAGCTTGGGGGATTTCATGTGCATTGATCACACCAGGATCCCATAATCCAGGGTGAGCAATGTCGGAGTAATTACGGACCAGTGTTTTTTTAGATACGTTTTAGTTTAGAGCTGTTACCGTCAGAGGTTCCGAAAATAAGCCCCTCCATGTATAAGCCCCTCCAAGTGATAAGCCCCCCGAAATCGAAACTCAAAAAACCCTCCGTTAAATCGCCCCTCCGAATATAAGCCCCCCGGGGGGCTTGTTCTTGGAATTTGCCCTCGAATACAAAGTAAAACAAAGCAATAATGGTAAATTACCTTCCCACTACAAGCTAGCCCAATCGATTTTGAAACGCAAATTTCACTCCGCACATAAGTCCCTCCGAATATAGACCCCTCCAAAAATAAGCCCCTCAAAAAGGGCCTTTGAAAAATATAAGCCCCGGGGCTTATCTTCGGAATTTTACGGTATCTCGAGAAAATTGAAGCTCCGCTTCGCCCATGAGCGGATTGCGGTATTAGATATGAATAAAGAAAACTATACTTTATTGAAGGGTCAAAACCGTTTTCAAGTCTGTAGGTTTTGCTGACAGGTTTGTCGGACGTTCTGAGAATAAACTGACCAGTAAAAACTCCGTAAAAAAAAACAAGAGGACTCGAGTTGCTCGCTGCGAGTTATGGGCTCCTGAGTTTAAAAATATTAAATGCGATTGATCCCAGTGGACAAAGATGTCGGAGTATTTTTTTTTTTTTTTTAATTGGTGACTGATACATCTCATTTGCACTAATAATTTATTTCTCTGTCCTGTTTTTCATTTATTAGCTCGTTATTTCTCGCTCAATTGCTCATGTCAGTCAACAACTCACTTAATATTTTTTTGCTAGGATCCGTTAGTTTTTTCTGAACCTTTTATTTTAAGTAAACTTCGGATCGATCGACTGACTTGTTCGAACGTAAGAAAAAGCGAAAAACAGGTATTGATGGTTTCGAATATTATAACCAAATGGAATTCAGTGATATTTTGTACTTTGATCTGATAAAAAGAGATCCGATTTTAAAACACCCCGATGATCCACATATTAAAAATGGACATTGAAACTTGACATAAAAAAATAGTCCGATAGGGTTTGATTTCGATGACGGAAATCACGCGATAAACACGCCATCAGGTGATCACATGCAACACCATCAGCAGTGTAAACGTAGTAAAACAATTTTCTTTCACTATTCCTTTGTTGTCTTTCTCGTGTCCGGTCAGAAAACTCACAATAATAGCCCAGCTCATCTGCCACGTTTGACTTCGCACTGTGAATGAAGTGACCACTCGAGAAGAAATAACTTCTAACCGCGGGCAACAAGCATGAACCAAAGAGGCAGTGAGATCGAAAAGACTGAAGCAACTAATTATAATTGCATAAGTGGAGGAGAAATTGAGAAGTAATCCAGTAATCTAAATAACGCTTTAGGATAATGATAGATATGCGATAAACATCCATCGGAATTTTTATTACTGTTTTTTGACTCAAACTCGGTGAGATGAACCTTTTTGGCCTGTTCAAATTGCTGTAAAATGCTGTACATGTTTGTGCGTTTTCTTTTCTTTCTTTTACTCAGATTTGCTGGGGACATTTTTCTGAAGCTCATTGTAAGTTGAATAGTGGGATTAGCTCGAACTTTTCAAAAGCCTGATCAAAACACCCACTCCAGTTTCTCAATTTAATTCTCAGTAGTTGAGAGGCCGGATGAGATCAGTCGGAACTCACTTCCTCAGGGTGGAAGTTCAAAGAAAGAAACACTTTTGAGATGAGTATCTCGAGATCCCTATCATCTTAAGGCTCTTAAGCTAAGCCGAAAATTGCATGATGTACATGAAATCTTCGTTTTACGTTTCGAATCAGCAATAGAGAGGGTGTGAGAGTCATGATCAGAGTTGATACAAAGAATGTTGTTGCTTTTTTCTTTGGCTCTTTCAGTTGAGGCTAAAAGAACTGGACAGAGGGTCCCCAAAGGTTTTTCGGCACCCGGGATTTCCCCTACGGAATTAAGCTCGGGATTCGGCGTTTAAAGACAAAATTGGAGTGAGATTCGGGATTGAAAGTATGCTTGGATGGGATGCCAAAAATAATCCTCGGAAAACCGGATTGCACGAAATTTTGGGTCGGGATTACGGGATTGAAGAACATTTTATTATGGGAGATCCTCTGGACATGCCATTAAATTCGAGCTGAATTGTTTATAACGACAATTCGAGGTCTTCGAGGTTGATTCAGTGCTCTCCAGGACGCATACGACAATCACGTATTGTTTTTTTAACATCCGATTCTCAGATTCTTTAATACGTACTAAATCAAGCTGATTTCCGTCTCTCTGGAATTTCTTCTGTTTCCTGAAATAACATGACAGCCAACACCACCAGTAACTGAATAAAATTTAGGTCATCTTGCGTATTCTACTGAAAAATGCTTACTCGGTTGCCTTCATTCTCGCTTGGGCCTTCCCACTGGCTGACAATTTTGCTAGTGCATCACCCGGAGGGGGGAGGGGTACTTTAGGAATTTCTGGGTGGGGATGTGCCGCAGGGACACTGGAACCCTTAACCTATACCAGAGCTAGTTCAGCTGAATTTTGCTACCTCATACTAGAGTAAACTCCCCAAATCCCCCCTATCCTAGAGTAGCTGTTTCACTAGTCTAGATAAAATCTTCAATCAACTGATCAGTTTCCTGAAAAAAAGATACCCTATTCTAGACCCAAACGCTCTGATTTATATACCCTATCCTAGAGTAAACTGCTTGAAAACCATACCCTTCACAGCGGCACATACCTATATAACCCATATGTGGCAGTGCCCCCTCGGGGTGCATCAGTTATTAAACTGAAATTGACTACCACATTTCTACTTTAACCTACTTATCTGAGTTGATCTTTCATTCTTTTTTAAGCATTTAAAACAGCTTTTCAATTAGTTTATTTGATAAACCACATCTATAGAAACGGATCAAGGAAGCAAAAGTCTTTCCTGAGTTTCCTGGTAGAAATTTTCCTTACTCAGATTCGAATTCTTGATTTATAAGATAATTTTTTCTTTAAACCATTGTTGAAACCAATTATTTTTTCAGTGACTGTGATGAAAGGTTGTCTTGTTTTTCGACGTGTAACGGGTGATAATTCTATAAGCGACAGTACTGCACTAGTTTCGAGAAAGCGAAAAAATGTAATTTTCCACACCCGTTTACAGACCAGACCTCTAAAATCCATACCCGTTTTCAGACCTGGCCTTTAGGCAGAAATTATGTTATCATAACTTAGATTAGAGCGCAAGCAAAAAATTCTTCTAATCCATTTTCAGGGGCACCCAATGGATCTGTTCCTGAAAATATCTGTTCTTCATGCAAATTTTTGCTGGCTGGGAGATGTGGAAGAAATAATAGTCCTTGGAAGGAAAGTGTTGCTGGGAAAAAGATAATTCAGGGTGTCAGAGGGGATTTGAAGTCTGGAATAGCTGCTACGGGTTACTTGTATGGGTTGCTTACCACTCAAGATCTGAATTGTGCCCTATGAAACTTCCCAGTAAGTCAGGTTGCAGGTTGTAAGGTTGCTGGCTGGGAACTCTTCCATCAGTCTTGCTGGGAGTGCGGAACAGATAATTTTTTTCCAGCAATCTCCCAAAATGCTTAAAATAGTCTCAGAAAACTTTATTCACGCTTTGTTGTTGTTTTTAGGTCTTTTTCTCAAAATTTCCCGTTGGGTGCCCCTGCATTTTGAATTCGCATATTTCTCTTTCTTTCTTATTCATTTGCAATTAAAACCGTTACAATAAATACGTTCACACACTCCCGTAATTCCCCCTAAAACCATACCCGATGCCAGACCAAATTAAAATAGGCAAAGTGTGTAGCCGTTTTCAGACCAAAACCGCGCAAAAACCCTACCCGATGGGGCGACACATACCAAAATAGCTTATATAAGGGAGTCCCCCCGGGTATAATTGCTTTCTTCATGTGTTTTGGGTTTCGTAACAAAAATCAAGTTAAATGAAAAGGTCGGCCAAGAGTACAATATTACATCAAAAACTCAAAGCAAATTCCTAGAAGACGTGTTAACTAATTGTTTGATATTTTTTGACGTCAAAACATCTACTTTTTCAACTCAGGCGGAAGGGCATGTACCACAATTGTCACTTGAAAGATGGCTCCAGTATGTCTCGATGCGTCAAAAATATTTCATATTATATATATTTTTTGTTAGAAAAGGATAAACACATGTTTTGTTCGAAATTGTTGTTCATATTTTAGACTTCATTGCTTCCGAGATGCTTTCAAGAACAATATTTCGAAATCAAGCCTGACTGAATTCCTCCTTTTTCAGTAATGGTAACTCAGTCACAAAAACCCATCCTTCGATCTGTATATTTAACCTTAATTAAATGTGCATGGTGTCAGAGATGGAATTTGCAACCCAGATTTTAGTGATATGGTGCATGATCCTGATAAGTAGTGGAGTGATTAATTGCGGTACAGTTTAACTGCTCATCAAGGTATTAAGCCAATTAACCCTGTTAATTATAAAGGACACTACTAAACTTGCTTACCACCCTAATTTTCTTGTATAGCCCGTCAAAATTATACCTCTTCATGTACAAAACATACTATCAAAAGAACGTGTCCGTGATATCCCGGGTGATATCCCAACCAAGACCCTGTCAGGTTCACCCAGAGGCTGTACTGACCCTTGGTCTTTATCGATGGTGATAGTTCCGTGATCACAAGTTTATTTCTCAATTCAGAGGAGCCGCTCAATTAGCCGAGCACAGACAAAACTTTTTCTAAATCGTCTACAGTAATTTCAACCACAATCCCATTTTTGGGCGGTGATTGTCAGTCAATAATCATCCCTTATGATAATCACTGCATAAGTGAAATTTCTTCTCTTTCCTGACAAAATCTCATGGTGTTGCCCAAAAATTTATTTTTTCAGATTTCAGAAAACTTTAGGCGCTAATACCAATTAATAATATAATATTGAACCTCAACTAGGCGAACTCCTCAGTCATGTAAGTTGTAAACAATAAATTTTTTCTCTCCCACGCGAAGGAAATATCTAAAATTCAAAAATGATAATTCGCCATAAAAATTTACTTCAGACTATGGAAACAATATTTGCCACGAGTTTGCCTTGTCCTCAGCAACACAGGATATCAAACTTTTTTCAAGTTGAAACACGCTTTTTACCCAAGTAGGGAGGGCAAAGTACGATTTTACAATTTCTCTTGCCATGTCCTTGGCTTTCCTTTTATAAACATCCGTTTGCGTCAGGACCATGGGTTGCCCAGTATTTTTCAAGTTATGATCACCTAAGCCAAATAGTGTTGTCACCGATTGACAGATTTTGAGGTGGGTCAAAATGCCTCCTCTCCCCACCCTAAGCTTTCCTTTGCGGAAAGTTTTCGTCATCCGTAACGATTGTTTATTTACTCGGCTCTTGTTTCATGCGCGCAGTATCAAGGGAATTTGCAGCAACAATTCATAGATTACAGATGAGGCTTTGTCATCGTGTTAAATAGTCGTACTTACCGTCGAACGCGCCATTTTATACTTTGACCGCCTTAACGAAGAATCTCAAAACACTCTGAGGGCATATTCCAGATTGTAACAACAGTTTTCGACTCTCACTTCAAGTCGATCGCGTGAAGCCATGAATTTCGCAACCAAGATCTTCATCGTTGTGACTGTTATCTGCTTGTCTGAATTTAGTCAAGCAAGACGAGGTAAGTTAGCTCAGATTGACTTCATTTTCCTCTCCTAAAATCTTAGTTAAAAGAACTTAAATATTTTGTATTTACCACGAAGGAATTTCATTGATTTTTGCCTCCGGAATTTCGGTGGGTGAATGTAATGTTACGAATCTCTGGACTTTTTCCCTCTCTCGCGTTCAACCACAACAAATACCACAATAGGCATGTTCGTTTTATTGAATCGCTCTATTCATTGAAAAACAAATGTGTATGCCAATAGATTTCATGAGACGTAATTGCTGTAAACTGTAACCTTTCGAAATGGCGCGCAATGGGTTTCTTGTGAAAGTGATTTACATTGTCATTAAATGAACAGTGGGCCTGAGACAAAAGGTTTGAAGTTCGTGTATTGTTAGAGTTGATCTGGCATGAATATATTCATCCTTTTATAAAGCGAAAGACCTCAGTTATATGGGTTTTTGAATAACATCCAAAACACAGAAAAAATGAAAAATAAAAGCTTATTTTTTTGTTTGTGTGTAGGAGGAAAGCATCGCAAGAATCCGGAAAAGTCGAACACGTCGAAGCTGGATGTGCAGAATGCGGTCAATGGATCGGTAGCTATTGGGGCAGAGCATGTAAACTCAACAGTTAGTCCGTCGACCGGTCCTCGCCGTCCACAGAAGGTGAAAAGTAATGTGCTACGAAAAATGTCGCATAGGCGCCACATGGAGAAACGCTGTTGCAGAATCGGCTACCGTGCTGCAGAACGGAGGCTTTTTTGTAGAGTGGATCGACAGTACAGTTCAAAATACCGGAATATGATTCATTATGCCAGGCAAAGATTTCAATATACTGGTAAGCCGTCGCGTGGAATGCAACGCCTTATCCAGCAATTTGAACGGCACTGCCTCAAACCCCAGCTAAAGGGAGTGTTCTACAAGTGCTGTCTTGACGGAATCTACTCGGTTCTCCCGAAAGGCAGACAGTAAATTTTGATAATTTACAGCTGATAATTTACTGTGGAACAATGTGGACTAGTTCATGTAAATATGTTTTTTTTTTCAGTTTAATAAGGTCATTTTTTATTCAGCTTAACGTTCTCTTTGGGCAAGATGCCTGGGCATGAATGTAGTGCTATTTAGCTAAATTTTTTCCTAATAAACTTGTGGGGTGCTGTTTGGTTTACGAGTATCGCATTTCAGGAATTTTAGAGAAGCACTGGTGTATATATATGTCTAGAAAGCCCTGTGCGTGCTTTGTGCCTTGGAGAAACACATGAACTTTGTCCTATCTCTGTCGGAATGGTATTTATGTTGGGAAAGTGAATAGACAGATAATAATCTAAAAGTCAAAAATTGTTAGATCACAAAGCAATTTTCTTGGGATTTTTTGGATAGAAACTTTATTTTTCGACGTGTTTGCTTTTTGTAGAGGTGTAAAAGGAAAAACAACATAATATTCATTTGTTCATATTGGCAGACGATATTTTGGAAGAGGAATATAATGTTTATGTGTTGAAATTTATTTTGTCTTTTTGATATGATCAGCTGTAAATCAGTGGCTTAAGGTTGTAAATACAGAATTTTTATCTCATTTCAATGAATGTGGAATGTTACTATGTTTCGGCATGTCAAGTTGTTTGGGTTATCACTGGGTCTCTTGACTATCCTACTCCCTAAGTGCCACAACATTTAGAGTAGATGAAACGAAGTGTTTCACGCTTATATACAGTGTACTCTCATCCCCCCCCATAACCCCCCTAAGACCCCTGGGAGATGAAGGAAACCCTCCTAAGACGATGGGAAAAAGGAGATGAAGGAATACCCTTCTAAATGTAGCGATGGGATCATAAGTTTTGGAAGCATGAATTGTTTGTCTACTAGGTAATGAAGCTAGAAAACAGTGAACCTAAACGCTTTGGAACCGGTATTGCTCACATGCAATACTATTCATTTAGAACCTTGAGCTATCCTAACCTGCGGACTCTTTTAACCTTTTAGTACGCCGATTTTTCTTCAGGCATCTTAAACTACATTTAATTGAAAGGCAAAGGGTCAAAGCAAGCCGTAGAAAGCATGATCCCTCTCAATTTAATTTACCCCTCCCTTGTACACCCTCGAAACTACAAACTTGTTAAGAGGACTGCTGAGAAAGTTTTTGAGAAGCAAATCTTGGGTTGATTCAGTTTTAATAGTTGCTCCTTACACTATTGTTAGCGCCAAATCTGTTTACAAACAAGTGAAGAGCGCGGGTTTTGACACCGGGTCAGTTTAGCTCCAAGTCGTCATGTAAGGTGTAATTAATCCTAACTGCACTGTTTCATTTCTTGAAAATTTAACTTAAAACTGAAAGAGGTGTTACTGCCTCTTTTGAGTTACTTTAGTATTCCCAGTCATGGATAACGGCGTAATCTGTACACCAGGTTAAGATGAAGTAGAGTCTGATGTTTTCGATCGAAATGGACACGGTTAATGTCAAATTGCATGCTTATTTATACACACGAATAGATCGATTAAGGGATAGCCTGCGTAGCAAGCGTTTCCTCGCGAGGTTCGTCTAGAAAGCTGGGACAAGAGCAAAAAAAATCAATGACGGGGGAGGGGGAGGACTTTTGCGCAATAACTCGATTGGAAACGCTTGCTACGCAGGCTAATTCAGGGAAAATAATAGCCTCCCCGCAGACGTCCGTTGGGGTTCGTTTGTCACGCATTCAATTCTGGGGGAGAAATGATAGCGTGACAAACGAACCCCAACGGACGTCTGTGGGGAGGCTAGGAAAATAAAAGATTACCGGGTTTTTAATATTCGCATAGTAAATTCCGGAAAGACACAACAGGTACCGTATTTCGGTGTGATGATTGGGGCCGTCTGCATATTCACTTTTCCCCCGCTTAACTTCATCTGGACGTTAGAGGGGAGAGGGTAAGGCAGTGGACGTTAGTGCGGGGTTTTTATGGACAAAAGTAGACTGATGCACTTTGATATAAAAATTTTAGGTCTTGTGTGGAAAAGCGCTCGTGACATTATTCAAGAGAAGGCAGGACCAATTAAAGAACTGAGTGTAAATGGTGATTTTTTATTAAAACTCTGCTCCGTCTACTAGCCGAAATTGCATGTACGTTTTACATTGTGATCTTTCAAAGTCTATACTAATGTATGAAGCTTCTACCCCGTTTTAAAAGCAGTAAATTGTGTTGATACCGTTAACACTTCACGGAAGTGCATGTCAGTATTCCTTCTCTGATGCAGTGACTTTTGTGGAAAGCAAAATTTCAAGTGGACGTCCAGTTGACGTGGGCGGCGGGGGAAAATTGAATATGTCGACAGCCCCTTGAACGAATCGTGCATGAGTGAATGCTTAATTCGTCTTGTGGAGCCTTAGGCTAACCCCTTTTTAGTTTCGATGAAGCAAGAACAAGCAATCTAAATGGTGCAAAGTAAAACCTGCATCTGTGTCCCTGCGCTGCGATTAGAACAAAAAGAGAATGAGTTATACACGTTCCAACCTACAGCCCCAGCTCCCATCACACTGTTTGGTAGCCTAAGAAGAGCCTCTCCCACAGGCCAGTTTCTCGGCCAGGAACTGATTTGGGGACTCGCCCCATGCATCCCCCTTCCCTATCGGTTATCATGAGGGCCATGAGATTAGGTAGCTATTGTAACATCATTGGTTTTTCTTCATAATTCAGATTTTAACTTCAAGATCAGACAGTCTATTTAACTGAGCATGCAGTTTTTTTTGGACCCCGAGACGGATCACAGTTAGATGTTTGGAAGGTACTGCTATTACGAAAAGCAAAGTGCTATTTGAAAGCCTTATAATTAAAAGGAGTCAGTGATCACCAAAAAATTGTCGACCGCCCAGATGTAAGAGGGTCTCAATGGGTTTTACGATCAGCAGTCATATTAATTTAGTCGGCCTAAAAATTAACGCGCGTAAACCGTCAAAAAAGGTTACAGTAAAATTCCGAAACTAACCCCCTCCATGTATAAGCCCCTCCAAATATAAGCCCCCCAAGCCGGTAACGCAAAAAACCCTCCGTTAAATCGCCCCTCCAAATATAAGCCCCCCGGGGACTTGTACTTGGAAAATTGCCCTCAAATACAACGTAAAAACAAAGTCAAAACGTGAAATTTACTTCCAACTATAAGGGTAGCCCAATCGGTTTTGAAACGCAAATTTCCCTCCGTAGATAAGCCCCTCCGAATATAAGCCCCTCAAAAATAAGCCCCTCAAAAAGAGCCTTTGAAAAATGTAAGCCTCGGGACTTATTTTCGGAATTTTACGGTATTTTTTTTACGGTCAACCGTCAAAAAAGCAGGTTAGGATTAACCGTCAAAAAGCTTCAAAGAATTTCAAATCTCTCTATTTCGGCTGATCTTCACGGCATTCCGGCTCCTGAAGAATTTCTAAATTGGAAAAACTAGTTCCCATGTTCTCTACTGAAACACCCTTTCTAGTCTTTCAACCTGCTTATTCTTAGTCTGAAATATTTCGAAAATTTATACTTCAGTGAAAGGCCAAGATAACTTCCAAAAACACAACAGTTAATATCAATTCATACAGGAGTTAATATTTACTTTTTGACTAAATTTCCACAGCCATCAAAACTGGAAAAAATAAACCGTCAACGTTGAAAGCTACCACTCCACTGAGACCCTCTTGTACATGCTGAAATTATTCAGGGAGGTCGCCAGGAAGTTTGAATGGGAGACTTTTTGACTGATTATTTCTATTTTTATAGTGCAATCCTTCCTTTTACTTATGAAAACCCTTTGCCATCCTTGCGCGATTAGAATGGCCATTAGCAAAGTAACATGCCTGCAGTCCTCTAAAAGGGGTTTGACAGCGGTAATTTCGTGAGAAGTGCGTGTACAATATATGTTCTCATACATCAAGTATCTACCGAAGTGCGAAGCGACTGGAAACAAGGAAAAGCAAAATGGCGACCGCAGAAACGTGATCTTAAATACAACAGTCTACAAAGGGAAGATGCAGGTTTCCCAGCCCAATAATGTTAAGATCTACAACCTTTCTGCCGGAAAATCATTGCCAGAGGTATTGAAGAAAAGCTATTGTTATATTTTGTTCATTTGGAAGCAGTTTGTGCTTGTATTAAGATTTTGCACGTGCTAAAGTAAGGCATGGTCCATCATCTGGAGCTACGTACACTTCGTCTCTTTTCTCTTTCTGGCTGGACTTTTGAATCATTGTTTGAAACTTTAAAGTGTTTCTTTTCTTTTTGTTTTAGTGGCTTTCTGAACGAAAGAGGCGGACATTGCAAAAGAATGATATTAGTAAGTTTTAAAATCATCTGAGAAAATTAATGTGAACTTAATTTAGCAATTAATGAATGGGGCTGAGTATCTTGTGAAGAATTATGGAGATTGAGGAGGGTGTTACGGCCTCAACAGATAACACCCTCCGAGGTCTCTATAATTCTTCATATGATACGAAAGCCAAATTCAATAATTGTTTTATTATTCATTCAAAATTATTCCTAGTTTAAAAACATAGCTAAAAATAGGTTACCTCCATCAATATTAAGCTCATTTTCGATAGTGCATGTTTAGGGTTGTACAGCTCCGCAAATGTTCTCCAAATAGCAGATGTCACCCTTTGAGTTTTTTCTTCTTGCTGTTCTTGCCGTGTTTTTAGCTAGTTCTTACTCTTGAAACGAGTGAAATGTCTGCCATTTTTGTTTTCACAACCAAAACAACTCAACCTTGTCCCCAGTTCTTCTCGGTTAATGGTGCATTTACCTGCAAGAAAGCTGCACTTTTGACAACATAGGTTGATTAATTGCAAAATTCTTTCAAATTTGGTCATCAGTAGCGGGTTATGGTGAATTATGCTTGTGCTTTTAGCCAATCAGAATCAAGGAAATACTTTGAATAAATAATAATAAAGCTTAATAGTTTTCTGCACTGAGCAGCACTCATAAAGATAAAGGAATGTCATTGAACTTAGTGGATAGGGTAAAATTATAAGACCTCATTTGAATCTTCAACTTAGCGGCAAAATTTTCAAGTCAGGTGGTAATTCTGCTTACCTTTGCCACTGAAAACAATACTTTTCCTGTCGTTGTTTTTTCTTCCTCGATTGTGATGCTTTGGATAATTTTATACTTATACAGTGTATTTTCATTATTAGATATCAGAAGAAGAATTGAGCTTCTTCAAGATTTTGAGATGCCAATTGCTTCTACAAATATCCTTGTTTCTTCAGACAAACAGTACATTATGGCATCAGGTGAGGTTTAGCCAGGTTGACATAAATTCAAAGATGCAATTTCTTCCTAACTTTTTTTTCGCGAGGTCGATTTTGCCCTGTACCCGTATCCTCTGGACAAGATTGCTTTTAACAGTTCCCCACCCCTGGATCTGTACTTTAATGTCCTGGCCCCAGTTGTTCAAAAGTTGGATGGCATTATCCACCAGATACTGTAAATCACTATCCAACGAATAAGGGAAACCAATTGCGCTTTCCACTGGATAGTGTTATCCACCTTTTGAACAACTGGGGCCAGGGGTTTCCCTTTAGGGAAGGCAGGGCTGTCAAAAAGTTTTTACGTAGCAGGCTGATAATGAATAGTCGGCGGCTTTGGAACTAGCCCCAAGGCACAAGTGTCTTAGTGCTGAGGCATCTAGGGACATTTTGAAATTTAGAGTCTAGAGAGGGGTTTTCAAGAGGTATTTCCACCGCGGACACCGCCAGTATGTTGTTTTGTCAGAATACATCGAGAATACACTCAAGACTGGAAGCAATGCTATCGAAATGTCCCAGGCATTCCACAACATTGCATGGTTCAAACACTTCACAGATCTAAACCTGCTTGAACATGCGTTCAATGTCATTCAAAACTGGCAAACAGATGCTTTACAATTTAATTTGTTCGATGGTGCTTATTTTTTTGTTAGCAGTTATGGTAGAAGGAGATGAAAGTAGCCAGCTAAGGGTGGCTAACTAATGAGCAGTTTTGGCTGGCTACCGGCCCTTATTGACAGCCCTGGGATGGTAATAACTACATTCATAACACTCATATTTTTTCGTTGGAGCAGAAGTCCATAACTAAAAGTCGCTCAAAATTCAGCTTTGAAATTGTTTCGGAATTTCAAAAATAAATTACTATCAGGTACAAGGAGCCACCTGTTCGAATTTTTCGGGACAAGTAAAATGCAATGTTTGCTAATTGTGAAAACAAAAGCAGATTGCCTATTGTGCTATTCTTTAAAAGGTACTTTTTAGTTTTAGAAACACTATAAATTGCTCCAAAACTTTCTCTGACGTCGAATGACTTGTTCCTCAACATTTTTAAAATATCCCTTGGCAGTTTTGGTTCAAACTCCTGCTACATACATTTTGACGTATTGCAATGGATGCTCAATGGCTTTTAATTTCCTCCTCCACATTGCTTCCAATTCAGGAAAAAGGTATTGGGATTGTAAGCTACCTTGTATCAAAGCTCTGATAGAACTGTCCAGCACCTTTGTTTACACCTTTTGTATGCTGAGCAGAGTTTTGCTGGTTCAAAGAAGGCAAAAGAAATAATGACTGGACACCAACGAGAAACAAGGAATCAATTGTTGTTACTGTTTAGGAAAGTCATTTCGCTGTTTTGCCATTTTTGTCATATTGCCATTTTGTGTGTTAAACACGCCCCATCAGGAAGGGCAGGATAGGATGGGATTTGGCTGTGCTGAAGTGCAAGGAGAATACAAAACTTCTTTTGCTTCCTCTTTCAGTGATTTTCTTGATTGTTCTACATTTTGCTCTACTGCATCTTGACCTGTGTGTGAATGTATACTGGTACATTCTAAAGTGAATCTATTTTTTATCTTCCCTTTTTATAAATGGCTATCAACTGGACTAGCATGTCTAAGGTGATTGCCTTACATTTAGTAAAATAATAACTCACAGCAGGCAATCATTGCACGCTCTCATGAGAATTCACTTTCAATTTTTTCTTGAAAAATGTCTAGGGGTTTACAAACCTCGAGTACGCTGTTATGAAACATCAGAGCTTTGCATGAAGTTTGAACGATGCTTGGATTCTGAGAGTAAGTGTAAATTCTTTGATTTTTTGCTTTATTAAAAAAATGTGTACATTTACATTGCCAAAGAAGTTCAAATTATACTTATTGTTGTTCTGATCCATTAATTTGATTAATGAAATTTTTTTGTTCTTTCTTTTCCCAGTAGTGAAATTCCGTATACTGTCTGAGGACTATTCAAAGGTGATTATCGTACATGTTAGTGACAGGTCAAAATTAAATTCAGGTTAACATTAATTTTTTAACCTATTATAGTAAGTTGATTCTCTATTTCCTTTGTTTCTTATCCCTATAATTATTCATGAATTAGGGCTAGGAGACAAAGAAAATTGAGAATCAACTTAGGTCAAAAAATTAACCTGAATATAATTTTGACCTGTAACACATACAGGCTTTATAATTTTTTTGTTTATTAATTAAGCAAGGTAAACAAAATGATAATATCAGCACTAGTAAAGAATTGTAGGAAGTGCACAAATTTCTGTGTTGTGCAGAACAACCGCATTAATATCCTGCCTGAATGATAGAGAATAATAATTACTTCAACTTTATTTACTAATACTTTAACCTGTGTTACTTTTCATTACTTTGCAGATGGTGTTTCTAACCTGTGACCGATGTGTGGAATTTCATGCACAGGTATGTTTAACATACAGGGCTCAAGAAAAAAATAAGAAAGAAAGAAAAAAACTTGACTTTCTGTTTGTCTTGTAAATTAACTCTGGGCAAGTACATGTGGCTCTCATATTATCGCTTGTTGCCTGGGAGCCATTCCTTGTTTATAATTTTGTTTGAGGATGATGTGCCTGAACCCTTGCTCAGCTCTGTTTTCCTGTTGGAAACTTTTCTGGGCCCAGCAAGAAAATCTGCTCATCCTGGACTGCTACCAGATGGGACTTTTTTCATGTCCTTGTATATTATCGTTAAAATTTTAGAAGACTTAAAAGTATCCATAATAATATATATTGTTCCCCATTTTTTAGTTTACTAGTATACTGATCACTGTATTTATGTCAAACAAACAATTTTTATGCTTTTCTAGATAACAGTAAATAATATACATCATGTACACTGTACTTTTCGCACTGATTGATTATACCTTTTAGTATGGACGGTATTATCGCACCAGAATTCCCAAGTTTGGACGTGATCTTGTTTATCATTACCCTTCATGTGATCTTTATTTAGTTGGAGCAAGGTAAATTTTAAATAAGTATTCTTCTGATGATTTTTACTACTTTGAGATAATACAGAATTCCCTCCTGGGGCCCGTTTCTTGAAATGCCAGGAAACCTTTTTGGGCCTGAAGGCAAATTTTAAATTCCACACCTGTGGAATATCAGCACAGTTCCTTGTCCATAAGCCACTCAATTTTGCTTTGTTAACTGATAGTTTCATTTTATTAACTTTCAAAATTATTGAAACTTTGATCTTGAATGTAATTGCGGCAAACACAGAACATCTCTCTGGGCCCAAAAAGTTACTGGGACTGTCGAGAAACAGGCCCCTGAAGAGAATCAGACAGGTAAATTTTTTTTAGATCGGCTAATAGTTTTTTATTCATTTATTTCACACTGATCGAGGGCTCTCATTAAGAGCTGGGGGCCGGGGATTTTCCCTGGCTACTATGAATGTGGTCTCCGGCTTTCATTGAAAAATAGAAGAAAAATACAACCAAAAGAGGTCCCTAGCTGTTTGATTCCCCACCTTCTTGTTGTATTTACTGGGCAACTTGAAATCTTAGTGACAACCCTGCTGATCCTTAATTGAAAACAGTGTTCACTGTCTTTACCTCAGGTTTGTTGATTGCATTATTGCATTTGATTGGTTTATAACTCTGGCTTATCACATTGTATAATTATTCTTTTTTTTGTAACTCAAAACAAAGTAAGCAACAGAGTTCATTTTTCAACAGTAGGTTTTTTTTATTTCTTAACAGTTCTGAAGTTTACAGATTAAACCTTGAGCAAGGACGATTTTTGAACTCTCTACAGACTAGTGCTGTGTAAGTACCCATTTACAATTAATTATATGTGCTGTATTACATCTAGACAGTATTACAATGTATTTAGTAAAAATAATACTTCTAAACTTTTTTTTTTTTATTTCAGGGAAATAAACACTTGTGATATTAATCCAGTTCATCAGCTTTTTGCTGCAGGAACAGCAGAGGTACTTGTAGTCTTTTTTGATGACTTCATCTTGATAAAATAATAAATAAATTGTGTCAAAAAAACTTGGCAAATGTACACTTGTATAGCCATCTAAAAAATAACAAGCTTGGTCATTAAGGCAAATGCAGTCAAGTCTTAACTGGTAATCACGCTCATTCTGATTTGGTTTAAAAGAACTCTTCACCCTGCAAAAGTTAGCTAGAAAAGTTGTCCTTGACTATTAAAACTGATGACGTCACAAGTTGTAGAAGGGACGAAGTTTTTCACGGGCAGCAGTTCAGTAGCCTCCCCCGCAGGCGTTTTTAGGGGAGATCGTATTTCTTCCCTAAAAATACGATCTCCCCTAAAAACGCCTGCGGGGGAGGCTAGTAGTTCAGGGGCAAATAGTTTAACCAATACTAAATTATTTCTTCCACACAACTAGCAGTACAGCGGTATATATTTCATGTCAAACAGTTTTTTTAGGGCAAAAACTATCCCCAAATTAGCCATTATAAAAAACTAAGAGTGTTTTCTCTTCTCCTTCTTTAATTTTTTGCTCCTTTCTTTTTCTTTTTCTCCTTTCCTTTTTTCTTTTGCTGGTGCCATTTTGAGATTATTGGGCGTGAAAAAATACCCTGACTTTTGGCCCTTTTTTACTAAAGTGACTGCAAATTTTGTTAGGTTTAAGAAATATTGGCTAGATCGATACATATTTTAAAAAGTTACCTTGTAACTAGGGGTTTCCATTCTTAATAACTTACACTGAATGTATTTTCATTGTTTCAGGGCCATGTAGAATGCTGGGATCCTCGATCCCGTAGCCGGGTTGGTGTTTTGGATGTTGGAATGAGTGGACTTGACTTCCAGAGGTACAGAAAACTAGAAATGCATTTACGTGTACATTGTATCTCGGTATGTCTCCATGATTCTCAATCTGGGATCAAGAGGGTTAAACGTGTTATCCTCTTGGCTTGCAGAGTCCTTTCTAAGGAATGCCTGCTTCAAAGTAGCCAATTTGTTTTACTTCATTGGCAAATATTTCCCTCCCTGATATCTTGGCGTTCAATACCCAGTTGATACTCCGAATTTCAAGTGACGGTGATGATCCAAGGATTTTTTTGGGTGTGAAATTTTCGATTCCGGTATTTTTTTGAGTAGGAAATTTTGGCAAGTATTTTTTTGGGTGGTCTAATTTAATAAGGATCGATTTAGAGATACATTTTAAAACAAAAGTGAACGGTCAATGAAAGAAACGTGTCGTTTCGATGGCTTCAAGTCATCATTGTCAAAAGATAAGAAAATCAGTTAACATGATTTGTGGAGATATAAATTATATTATAGAAAAAGAAAGTGCGAAAAGTGCAAGTAAATGTAAGCGTGGAAATGGACAAATAACAATTAAATAAAGAGCAGAAAGAGTTTCGCACGAGTGGAGTCCGATTGAGTGTTTAGCGTGGGTCTTCTATCTCGTATGATTAAAATCTCGAAAATCAGACACTCTAGCTTCCCTCGGCATTTCTTGAGAATTTTAAAGTTTCCACCACGGTTTTACCCGCTTTACTTCGTGTTTCTCCATGAAATGCTTGCCAACTACCGAATGTTTTAATATGTTGCTCTACACGTTGATGAAGGTGACGGCCGTGTATCCTGCAAATTATTTGCATCGCACAAATCACACTCAAATTCATATACAACATTAATTCTGGCTGTTTACAAGGGGCGGTTTTAATTCCGTCTCGCGTAAGTCGTTAATGATCTTTTTACTAGTGAAAACTGGCTGCAATTCATAATCGATTTTCCTTCCGAGGTCGGAAAAGAACGGCTTGCATTCTTCGGGTTTATGCACCTAGAACTGCAATTTACATAGTAAGCTTAGAAGTACATGTAGGATGCCGAGCGATTTTACAAACGAAACCCTGCACGTCACCAAAATTAATTTATCTCGATTAATCACGGCTAAAGTCCCCCATGAAAAGGTCCTTAATAGAATGAGCGACTATCGAGCTTACTGCGTTGTTTACTTAGTTCCGGCCTGCACTGTATTGACTGAAAATCGATACCGGTCAATTATTTACCAATCAGACTATCCATACCAACTGCTCTCTTCCTCCCCTAGTTCCAGGCCTAAAGTCAAGTTTGTACTTGCATGACTCTACATGACTGTACATGTGTATTACAATGTGTAACTGTAGTTATAACAGACCTTTTTCTAATGATTATTTCAGTTTGGACAATGTTCCTGCTGTGACGGCACTCTTGTTCAGGGATGGTCTGACCATGGGATTAGGAACCAGTACAGGACATGTGAGTTCTAAAACCACACACCGCTTTCTGTTATTGTACCAGGCTTGGACAAAATTATGCCTTTATTTAATTTCTTGTTTAATTTTTGGCTGGGATCATGGTGGCCTAGCTTCTACCAAAAAGCACTCCCACAATCTTATCCTGCCAGCTTTGCGGCAGGCGATTTGAAGCGTGTAAAACAAATGTTTTGCCTTTTGTCATCACACAATCAGTTGTTATTTTTGGCAGGTTCTACTGTATGATCTTCGCTCCACCAAGCCTTTGTTAATTAAAGATCACCAATACGGTCTGCCGATTAACAGCATTGCATTTCAAGACAAGCTTGGCGTTGTCTTATCAGCTGATTCTAAGATTCTAAAAATCTGGGACAGAGAAACAGTGAGTATAGTTTCATATCAAAACTAAAACGGTTGAAGCTAACCACAACGGCCACGTTGGGGACAGACAAAAGTGGCCCTTTTGGAGAGGTGGCCGTTATGGGGAGTTAGGGGGTGTAAATAAGAATTTTGTTTTAGGGAGTACAACATGTTTATTGCGACAAAACTTTGCTTAAAAACATTTTAGGAAATTAAAAAGAAAAAAAACATGACGACGTTAAGACGTTCTCAGAGGTCATTATCAAGTCAAACGAAAATAGCGTATATACTCAGAGTGAGTCCATTAGTACGAAACTCTTTGTTTAACTTGTAGCATATTTGGACTCGTTACTTTTCTTTTTAATCGTCTATTATATTTTCCTGTATGCGAGAACGTCGAAACGACGTCATGTTTTTTAACGTTTTTTAAAACTTTCTCCGAATGTTTTTAAGCAAAGTTTTATCGCAATTTTTTATAGCCAGGGGATGAAGGTGTTTTGCTTTTAATTTTTTTTTTCACATGAACAACTCTCTTATCCCTTGATTTTGTACATGTATGTCATAGGGGAAACCATTCACATCAATAGAACCATCTACAGACATAAACAATTTGTGTCTTTATCCTGATTCAGGTGAGAACTGCCATAACTTTAACATTAGTACATGTAAAGGGAATAGTTAGAAGGTATCATTTGTGTTGTACTGGTTATGTTGTACATGTACGTAAAATCGATTTAAGGTTCAATCACTTTTCAGCCTACCGTATTTATTCGATTAACCACCCTGGGCGCTTATTAAATTTTTGGACCTTGAGAGTGGGCGCTTATTCGAGGCTCGGCGCTTATTAAATTTTCACCATTTTCAGCAAGTGAAGTATGTTTATTTTGCAACAAAACAATAAATGCTAATAACAAAACGCGAAGTAACAAAGCAAGGTTTCTGTAAAATACTCTGAAGAAAACTCCGTCCTTGGGGAAGTCTCTTATTAGAATTTATTCACTCAAGTGGGTGGGGTGGGGGTGAGCGCTTATTTGAGTTTGATTGGGAGGAGGAGGGGGTGGGCGCTTATTCGAGGCTGGGCGCTTATTAACTTTTTCTGCCTTTAGGATGGGCGCTTGTTCGAGGTGGGCGCTAATTCGACGTTGAGCGCTTATTCGAATAAGTACGGTAGTTTGATTTCAAATTTCCCTTGTTTACGAGCCCTAATTATTCATAGGAGAGAAAGGAAATCCTGGTTTAACCTGAGAAAAGATTTTACCCAGAACACTTACACTTTAAGTTTACCAGTATGAGGTTACGTAACTGCCGTGGCAGTTTTGATGTTTTCCTGTTTTTCTTGGTCAAGAAAGTTTGCTTTAAAGTAGTCTCTCATATCTCTCGAAGTGAATTTATAACTCATAGTTCTATCCTTCCTATCAAGATACTTTTCCTTGCGTCTATGTCTAGTTTTTTGTCCATGCATCCTACAGCTGTACATGGCCATGTATTATGGCCGTACATCAACATGTGCCATGTGCGTTGTCACTATGACTTGTTTGTTTAGCTCATTGTATATTGCATCGTACTTTTTCGATAGGTTTGGTGTTCATGGCAACTGAATCGCCCAAAATGCTGGTCTACTATATCCCAGTAAGTCTAAACTATAGTCCTTGTAAATACTCAAGCTTTTTTTATTTTCGATACTGTTTCAGTGTAGCTCAGTCTTGAGGCTTTTATTGCCCTAACAGGGCAATTCAACTACATACTATAGATTGAAAATCCAACGGAAATTTTGTTTAAACCTGTGAGTCCTGTTTAAATGTGTCTTTGACGAAAAACAGGTAGAAAAGGAGGTTACTAAAATCGGAAATCTGGGTTTCAGAACCATTTTTCCCTCGTTCTTTACGCTTCTTGCCGCTGCTTGTGAGCGAGAAGACCTCTATCTAGCATCCAGGATATGGCTGGTACGGTCGAAAACTTGACCGGCGCGGTGTGAACACCATAACCGAATAAATTTTTATACGAACAAGCTGCGGATCAAAATTTACAACACAACTTTTTGGTGAGTATTTCTCAGTATGTACATAATACATGCATGGATACGCGGTAACTTAGTCGGAAGACACCATTTAAAATTTGCTGAAGTAACGCCACTGACAAAAGTTAAAGTTCACCCTAATTCGTTCGTTCCGTGTGAACAGTGCAACAATATTGAATGGTTCCATGTGAACGAAGTGTTCGGTCAAATTTTCAAGCCGTGTGAACGCTGCTGGAAGTGACAGGGTTGCATGTGTGAATGCAACATACTAATGTTTGCGTTGTTCCAGTCTCTTGGTCCAGCTCCGAGATGGTGCTCATTTCTGGACAACTTAACAGAAGAGTTAGAAGAAGACCAGCAGCCAACTGGTCAGTGAATGTTCACTTAGCCTTGAAATCGTCATTTATAGTAGGATAACCCCAATTCTTTCTGGAGCCGAGCGCAAACAAGAATAGTTGCCGCCTCGCAAGCAGATGGCAAGTTGGAACACATATTTTGGGGGCAGAAATCCCCCCCCGCGCCCCCTACCTCTGGTCAAACAAGCTTAAATCCTCCTTGCTGTCTGAGACCCAAATCTCTGTCAGTGAGTTTAGACACTTACTCTGGTAATAACGTTCCCTGGGAAAATTAGGGCTAATACAAATTGAAAGCTCATTGTTGCCGCATGGAGTTGTTTTGACTTACGTTGTTTGGTCATTGACCTGATTTTTCTCCAGTCTTGTACTAATTTTCTGCACATACACGTTACTCGTCCACAAGGCCGAATTTTATGCCTTAATGTTTGTTCTTTACCTTTCTTTACAGTTTATGATGACTACAAGTTTGTGACTAAGCAAGACCTGGAGAGTTTAGGTACAGTGAAGCAATAGTATGGAATAGTTCTGAACTACTGACCGATCGTTACATCTATTTTTATTTCAATTTTTATTGTTATTAACATGGTCCATGTATTTCATTAGGCATTGCGACTGTGACACAGCTGTTAGCAGCTATCATTTCCAGTTTTGCCTTACAACAGCCGTGGTTAAATGGCACCCTGGAAAACAATTAAATCACCTTTCTTCCGCCTCTTAATGAAATTCTTTGAGTGTGTCGATTGGAATATTGCGTTTCTTGGCCGGCACCTGCACCGGCTTTATTGGGGAGCCTAGCACATCATAGGTATCCGCTACAATTAGGATCATCCGCCGAGAAAAGCTGACTTTTCGCTCAATAAGATTGCATTGTATTCTATTAACTTTTAATATTTTTGTATCCTCTAGGTCTGTCACATTTGATGGGTACCAACCTATTGCGGGCCTACATGCACGGATACTTTATAGACATGCGTCTCTATCACAAGGTAAGCATGGTAATTCGTACTCGGATAGTTTGAGTGTAGCTGCACACATGTTAGAGTATAGTCGTATAATTATGCTGTCAGTTATTCACTGACAGCACTTGGTTGAAGTTGACGTTGACGTGGACTGGATGTTGATGTTTCTTTTTAAATTTCTTCACAGGCCAAATCTATAGCCGAACCTTTTGCATTTGAAGAATATCGCAAGAAACGCATCCAGGATAAGATTGAGGAGGAACGCGCCAACAGGGTCAAGCTAAAGGTAGGCAAAATTAAGGTGTCATTTACTAGTATGTTTGTTTGAAAACGATGCTATATTCGCATTATCTTGAGCGTTGGACACAGCTGGAAAGAGGTATATGTAATCAGATTGGAAACTGATACTTACACTGCTTTTTGTCTTTTGCTAGAAACTTCCCAAAGTAAACAGAAACTTGGCGGAAAAACTGATAGAAGAGAAGAGGGATACTAAGAAACATACGGTTTCGGTATGTTATTGTAATCTGCGCTCTATGTCTTCTTCTTCTTGTTTCGAGAAACCCCCACCTCCTTCAAAAATGAAGATTCTTGTGTCAAAGAGTGTGAGAGTATATGTAGAGTCATGCACGTAGACGTGTGGGATTACATGTAGATGTAGATTACATGTTTTCCGTTTTCAGTTGATATTTAAAAGGTACTTTTCAATTGATTTCAAATGTTGACACCCCGGCATAGTTTTTAATATTTTCAGAGTCGTTTGCATTGCTGACTTGGGCCCCGTCCACACGTATCCGTTTTTGTTTGAAAACCACGAAGATTTTTTCCTCCGTTTTCAAAAAAATACGGGTCCACACGTAGCGTATTCGAATAGTTTTAGCCCGTCCATACGAAAACACTAAACAATGGAAATACGATAGCACCCCTCACAGAGTATGCATTATGCTAGTAGTATGTATAACATCATCGTATTCGAAAACCTCCTTTTTCATCCGTCCACACGTAAACGAGTGGCCAGCGTTTTCAAAAATCTTCATTCTGGGGAGCGTTTTGGAAAAGATGCGTTTTTGGTGACCGTTTCCCCGAATGCGTGTGGACGGTAGGCCAAACCGGAGGAAAAAATCTCCGATTTTAAACAAAAACGGATACGTGTAGTCGGGGCCTGAGACTTTCAAGTATTTACCTTGATTATTCCGACTTGTTTACTTGTCGCTTTGCTTTGTTTTTCAGTCTTCTGACGTCAGCAATCCTTTGGGAGATGACAGATTCTCGGCCATGTTTTTGAATCCGGACTTCCAGGTGGACGAGGAAAGCGAGGTAAAGCAGAGTTGCATTGCTCAAGTGTGGTGTAATATTTATCAAGATGCTCTCAATGTAAGAATGTTTTTGCGTCCTAGAAACTGAAAAGCTCTGAGAACGATTATGGCCGGCGCTAAATTACCATCCGACTATGGTACGATAATGGATAACAAATTCAGAAAACCGAGAAATATTTCTCCCAAGAATAGCCCAATTCTGAGTTTTCTTAATCCTCTTTCAAAACGTGGCCTGTTGCACAACCTGTCGTGGCATACATGTATGAAAATGAGCGTGAATGAAAACTCATCTTCATATAGAAGAGTGAGTTCCACGAGAGGCTTTTGAAAATTAATGAGGCCAAAGATATATATCGGCGATATCCTTTTGCTTGATGCCTCTTTCATGGGGCCAAGATTCTACTCTGTTAAGAAAGGTCAAGATAACTGGACACTCCTCCTTAACTTAGTAAGCTAACAAACGTCCCACACTTAAAAGGACATACCTTTTCAGCATTACCTTAGAGTCCTTATTTTGTAAGACCTTCTTGATCTTTTATGTTACCTCTCATCCGGTAGCCTGCGCGTAGATGTCTCATATTTCCTCTGTGCACGCGTTTGCACCCGGAAAGTCAATAAAAACCGTTACGTTGATGGTAAAGTGGTAAAAAACACGTAAAACGTTTTCTTCACTCCTTATTTTGTTTGGAGGGTGAAGGGAGACAGATATTTTGCCTCTTTAATCTTACTAATGTTATTTGTCAAGGTAAATTGAGACCCTTGACGAGTTTTATGTAACTGCCAGTGAAATTGTCCTTACATTTTTTTTTTTTAAGGAATACAAACTTCTTCATCCAGTGGTTTCTAAGCATGAGAGAGAAAAACAAAAGCGGCAGAAGGAAAAGCAGAAGTTACTGGAGCAGTTCGATGAAATAGAGGTGAAGGCTGGAAAAAATAAATGTCTTGAGTCCGAAAAATCAACTCACTTCCTTGTATCAAGGAAGAGTAAAAATTATTCTGCCTAACTATTTTAAAGCATTCCTAAATGTTTCTGTGAACATTACAAAATTGAAAGTTTTGACAAAAAATGATAACTGAAGATTTGTTAAGCAACCATTATCCTTGAAGCAGCCCTAATACCAGCGTTTATGCTCTCCGCACCATTCTCCATATTTTAAATCTAGATATTTTGTCTGATTAAGCTGTTTTAGTGAAAGGAGAAATTAGATTCTGGTCAGTGTTAGGTTTACTAATTAAATAATCCCGGAACTCTCACTACTGGTCACTGGACCTCATGCTTCGAAACTACAATAAGATTTTCTTATTATATAGGAGAATCCTGTTGCGTTTCATTTTTGCTGATAAGAATTCGAAATATTGAGACGTCGTCCTATATAAAAGTTAAGGTCAAAAGTTGAAAGAGCTCGTCAACTTGAACAATTTGTGTAATTTTCAGCTCTTTCAAGCAATATCAAAGAAAATAGCACCCATCGAAAACTTCGAAATTGCTGTTTGGTAAAAACATTAAAGAGCTCATATATTTCTGTAAAATTTCGAGTTTTAAAGAGAGTATCTCCAAACTATTCGGTATTTTGGGCTAAAAGTTTCAGAAGCAACTAGTATGGTTATGCCCTTTAAATATTCAATCTTTTTTTGGTAATAGCTTGATCAGAGAATTATGAGATTATATGTAAATGAGCCAAGGAGTGTAAACCCATAGGAACCGGAAGGTATCCCTAGTGAGGAGGAAGAAAGCAGCAGCTCAGAAGACGAGAGGGAATGGCGGGAGGAACTCAAGAGACAGCGTAAAGAAGCTAGAGTAAATGAAGAGAAACAAGCTGCCAGCAAACCAAAGTTTTACGAATTAAAATCAGGCGAAAACTTTAAAACCATTAAGTCTACCAAAGACGTACTGACCTCGAAACAAAAGAAGTAAGTTAATATGACACAGGAATTTTTAGCCAAATCGCGGATCCCGGGTATATTCTTCCAGACCCTGATTAGACGATCCTGCCTCCCAATAAATGGCGGACGAATATATTTCTCACCTGATCAATAAGTAAGTCAATCAAAATATTTAAAGTCATTGCTTGGGACTGAGGTTGCCCTCAGTATCCGAGCCAGGGACTCCTGTATGAAACGCATGACAAAATGTCGTATCCGGAACTCGTCTTAGTGATAAAGTCTGGGTACGAGATTTATTTTTCACGTCGCGTTTTGTGATCTCGCCGTCCCGGTTAACATGTGTGAGATGCAAACGAAAACTCAAATCTAGTGCAACTGGGAGGAAGCAGCAACGCAAGAACCGGAAAAAATTCCATTTTCTTACGTTTGTTGTCTTGCGCTTGAGTTTTGGACACGCGTGTGAACCAGTTTCTTATGAACAGTTAAGAAACTTAGATCATTTGCAATTATTTATCATCTGTTTACCTTTTAATCGAAATAGCAATCTGATACTAAGGTCGCTGTGAACACTTAGTTAGCCCTGTCATATTATGTTCGGTATTAATTCTTAGTGCGTAAAATTCAATTTCCTACAAAGTTAAAACGGGAACGTTTTGTTTTTTGTGTGTAGGGTATCCCTTGGTGAACGTCTTCAGCATGAAGAGAGTTCGGGTGTGATCCGGTCAGCAGGTTCATCCTCGGGTGAAAAGGAGATTACTTTTCAAGTAGAGAAGGTAAAAAAAGGACATCAATTTAACGTTACTGGTTTAACCAATTTTTATAAAGATTCTCTTAAAGATTGAAATGTACTTGCTTAACCTTGTACCTAATGAAAAAAGTCATTTTAAATTATTGTTTTGTATGGAGAAGACAAATACAAATTGCAGCAGTATTTTAGGATACTGTAGGAGTTTATTACCGTTAAATGAAGAAGGGCGTGATTGATGCTCTCTTGAATTCACTGGTATTTTTTACTGTCGTCCTTGAATTTATTGTGGCGTGGGGTAATAGTGTGAACGTAATATCCTGAGCGATCATGGTTACTTTTTGATAAAGGCCAGAGTTTAACCGAGACTTGGTCTGAAACAGCTTTTAATGCGTAATTTTAATAAGAAATAATGAAATTATTGTTTTCTAACTACATGCAATCACGTTTTCTTTTTCCCGCCATGCATCACGCGTCGAAATAAGCGACTCTATTGCATTCATCACAATTTTTGTTTTCTTTGTAGAGTAACAAAGAGACAAGGAGAGATGAAGAAATTCGTGCTCATGTCAAGGAAAGGAAAAAGCTTCGTAGATCAGCCAGCAGTGTTCTGGGGAATGAGAAACGAAAACCGGTGTTCTGGAGAGGGAGGAGGGTTAGATGACACGAAGCTGGGGGCACAGTGGAATTGATAAACTTGTACTCTTCTGGGAAAAGAAAACCGGTCGGGTGTGGTGGTGACAATGAGATTGATCAGCTTGCAGCAGTTTTCCTGTGAACGAATGCGTAGTAGTGGTCTTTTTGAAAAGTATAGTTCGTTGATGCGAACATTATTTTTTTGTTAATAACTCGACGTAAAGATCTGATCAACCGCTGCCTCAGTCGTCGCAGAGCATCAAAGTGTGTATACGGATCATAATGAAAAGCGGTTTTGGACTGTGCATGCAACTGGATTGAGTGGAAAAAAAGAAAGAAAGAGACAAGGAAAGAAACAAGGGGGAAAAAGGAAGAGCACCCTTCGTTAATTACTGGTCGTTTTAATCCTCCTAGACACTAAGACACCTAAAACCTCACATCTGTGGCTTTTTATCATAGACCACAATGTAAAACTGCAGTGCAATGAGAAACTTTAGGTTGTGAAAGTGATAGATTTTCTCAGTCTTATTTTAATACCGATTGTAGCACTCATTGTGAAACTAGATTAATAGATTGTACAAAGTGTGAGCATGTGTTTCTTGTAGACAAATAGATGACATTCAGACTAAACACACCCAACTAACGTCATTTCTGTCGAACTCCTTTAATACGAACGCTGAGGAGACCGTAAAAAAGTGTCCGAATATTAACAGGGTATCCGTAATAAGCAGGTCATAAACACCTTTTATTGGAACAAAATACTAAAGAACTAAAACATGACATCAGCATCATTAAACTGATCTCCAACTTATACAAAGCGATTATTCCATGGAGAGCTTAAGCAACGACTACGCGACGACGGTGAGGGTAAAAGGAAAAATTAGTTTTGAGTAACGAGTCTGGTTTCTAGGTCCGGGTTTGACCCTGGGTTGCGATCTTCCTTCTCTTTAATAGAAACACTGTGTTTCTAAAAGTGTCCTAAAAAATGGCAGCGACCAATTACGAAAGGGAAATCCCGACGGCGAAAGAGCATGATAACCGTGCAAAGTTGTCGATTTGGATCGCTCTTTTGCCTTATCCCTTGCCTTTGATGTGATAGTGATTACCTCATAGTCGATTAATTTGCAGAATTTTTGAAAGTATTTTGGTTGGATTATTCTAATCAGTAATAGAAGGGATAGACCTTTCCACCTGATTTTTTTTTTCAACTTTTGACATGGCAAGTTCTTCCCCCCACCATACAAACGTCTGTAAATTTTCGTAACTTTGCGGAGCTTTATCTTCGCTCGCTTATAAGATGTAGCACTTTTAAACTTGGCAGTTTTACAAATTTTAAGGCGCCCTTTCCAGTGGTATCAACGGATTTTCCCTAAATGGTCTTTGTAATAAGTTGATTAAAAAAAAACCGTGGAAGGGTCTACAGTGTATTAATAACAACTTTCAGTAAATCGTATATTCTTTAACCTTAGCTCCCTTCTTTTAGAACTAGTTACATGTATCTCGTTAATTATGCGAGGCGGCAGTCAACTTAAATGTATACATTTCAGCTATAGTATTTTTCACGAAGATCAAGATCTTCCTCTGTGTTTTGTTATCGTTGACTTCGTTACTTTTATTCGGTACAATAACGAGTATACTCTGACGTTGGTGTGGGTTTCAGTTTGTAGATGTAGAAAGGACCACAGTTGCGCACCTTTATGTAAATGCTAAATCTATATTTATAAAAATTTACATTGTACTCGTAGTAATAGCCGAAGTACACTTGGCGGCTGACTATCCCGTCGTCAACTGTTGGATGACTTCCAGTTAACCGTCCCTGATAATGAGTATCGCAATAACCGGATCGATAACAGCAGGTTGTGGACATTTGTTTGCCTT